CAACGGGGGAGGAGTCATGATCACGTGGGACGTTACTGCCGAGCTCCGGCAGTAAACTATTTTGAGCCTCTGGTGCGTGATGGAGCGCTGGTCGCATTACTCCTGATGTTATGCAACCAGGAAACCACTTAGCATCATGGTTCCAGCTTGGTTCGACAAAGGGGTCTTTTAAACTAAATAACAGTTGTGATTGAACATGCTCATAAGACATTTAAGGTAAATAATTCATGCCAAGATGAAGGCGCTTTTGCGCATTCGATCTGTGACAGATGCAGAGCGAAATCCTACAAACAGAGCTGTCTTGGCTATCGCTTCTCTTCATCATAAACTAGGAGAGACAGGAAGAAAAACAAGACTAAAATCATACAGGCCCAATCTCAAAACTCGCACTGCGCCCTGCAGTCTTCAACAAAGTGCACTTGGAGAAAGTGTGCAGTAGGGTTCGAGTGCGTAGTACACAAGTGTACCGAATTGAGACAGGGATCATTGCGTCATCGATCACAACCAATGCATGCTATGATGCTGGTCGCTGTGAAAATCTTTATTAACAACTTTCAACCAAACAACAAAGCAATTATTTGAAATTAATTTTACTTCATGGCTGCTTTGTCTAAAACATTAAGAGGAAGGGCATCAACTAATTGTCCTAAAATAAACTGATTTCATTAGAAAATACATATTTTGTTGTCTTTTCATGATCTATAAAAGGTTTGAAGCCGGCAGAAAAACACATAAATTGATGCACCTTATTGTGTCACATAAGAGGCTTAATTAAAAAAGGTCTGTGAGGCACTTTTTGCATCTGAGAGAAGATAAAGGGAGTTGCATAAATGCAAATCTGTGAACCATTGAGGGTGATCAGATTTTTTCAACTGGTCCTCCAATGTGGACTGACAGTCTTCAGACATTTGCTCAGAGGGAATTTGGTTGCCATTCTGACAATTACAGGAAGCTGCAAGTGTCACTTTTGCAAAATGTGATTTATTATACATCGAGTGTTAAGGAATATTTGGGGGGTTTGTTGAAACAACAGTGGTTTTCTTGAAACTATGACATATCAAAAACTGCCTAAGTCCTAATGAGTATAATCAGAAACAACAAACTTCCTGAACAAGCAGATGTATCTTTTTTTTCCCATTTTCTGTCCTGAAAACCAACAGGTCAGGTAAAACAGTTGATCTATCATTGATTTACATAGCCTCTGACAATGTATAGGTGAGGAAAACCAAAAGGTTGAGACCCTTAACAGCAGAACAGTCAAATGTTGTGTTTCTGTGTATTTACCAGTGTTACTTTGCCAATTCAGCGACTTTAGGTTCATAGTCCTGGGGTGCTTCATGGAGTGAATAAACTGAGAATGTGACACGATTCAGCAAAAGACCATGCTCAGCAAAACCCCTCCACCCATAAGTAACGGTTTAGAAATAGATTAATAAGCACCATAAAGCCTGCTACAAATTGAGCATATTAAAATAAAATCACTTTCACCTCCCAGAGAACAGCATCAGCTAATTTTCCAATTAAAGTTCTTGAGGGCCCACATTTGCATGAATTGATCGTCAAACAGGAGCGTCCACTCACGTGGCTCCTTTTGATTCAAAGCAAAGTTGACATCAATCCCAATTAATTGAGTTTTAATTTATTTCCTATTGGTCGGTGGACAAAGCGTTAAAAAGAAAAGCAGACACCCATTAATCAAAGTGATCAGTTGAGTGTGTGATGTATTTGCAGAGGTGCATGTGTTTTTTTTAATGCTGCATTCCTGCACTGACTGATGGCCAGAAGCAAGAGAAATGATTAGTTGTCACTGAAGTTGTGGCACTGATCAAACACCGGCCCTGAGGCTTCTTGGGACCATGGAGGGGCACGTTCCATGTGGCATGATGGGAATGCAGGTCAAGGATGGTGCAGCAGGCTGCAGCATGCACCCAATAAAATAGGCAGGAAGGCAATTAAATAAGTGATGAAGCCTCTCACTCTGCAGGTTGGGTCAAAAACCTGGTACTTGTAAGAACACTTTACACCATTCTAAGCTGTTTTATAAGGTAGGATGCATCATATTTTAAACCATCACTTCAAAGCAAACTACAATTAAAATACAGTGAAAATGGAGATTGAAAATTTGGGAATGTAAAAACAAAATAACACAAAATAAAACAAAACCTCTCTAGATGATCTTCTGCCGCCACCTCCTGGTGGTTAAATGAGCTGTATCTGCTTTAAGTCTGTTTATTCCGCAATCTTTCCTGCGTCTCTGCCTCACACATTTTTCTCATATAAACCTCTCAGACTGCAAAGCTGAGCAGCTTCCTGTGCATGCTGAGATCAAATGGAGCAGAAGCTGCTGAAGGCACCAGCTGTTAGGACTGGGCAGCACTGGCCTCATGCCAGTGCCTGCAGAGCAGTTGGCAGGCCTGCTGGAAGTAAAGCTAATGTTTTTAGTCAGTGCAGCTTTCTCTCCCACTGCAGCTAAAGGGGGAAAACGTGTCCCTTACACAACACAATTGTTACCGACAAAACCTAAACAATAAACCAAACACCTTCCATAAAGTACTATATTTCGTTTAGCTTGTCACATTTTGTGATGTCATGTGGGACACTACTGCCTCTATAAACGCTTCAAACGTCAATAAAATCCTACCATCTCGTTTCTGTCCATTTTTAAAATTTCCTAAAGTGAGTCATTTCAAAAAGTCCCCATTTGTCACATCACAACCAAGTAAATTAGCATAAAAACCCACCCACCAAAGTTGTTAAAAATTAGATATTTTTGTTAACTACAAGGATTTGTTGGATATGCAGCCCCGTTTCCACTATCGGACCTTCATGGCTTGCACCTGTCTCCATTTCACCGGTCATTTCAGGAACCAATGGAGTACCTGAACTGGGGTATGTACTCAAAAAGGCCAATAGTCTCTAATCAGCTGTTGTTGTTAGTAACTGTCACTGAATGGTTGTTAACACACACAAAAAAGACACCTGAAAGGGCTGAATTTTTATGGACACAAAACAACTGAGAGGATCAAGCCATTAAATCTCCTAGTCACCTTTTTCCCTCCCAGAAATTTCCCGGACCTCCTATAATGGAAACACAGCCAGTGTTTTGAAACTAGCCAGGAAAGGCCTTAGGATTCCCTCGAAGGAGCTGGTTGGCTGGGGAGAGGGACATTTGGGCTTCCTTGGGCTCTAAGTAGAAAACAATGGCTGGATGAATGAAAGCAATGCCTAATTCCCAGCAACAATTGACAAAAACATTTTGATGGGGGCAAACCAGCTTGAGGCAGACTGCTTTTGCCTCATTTCTACTGAGAGGTTTGGTGCACCTCGATACGAGAACTTCTGACAATACACAGCAAGATTGGCCAGCAAACCTATGACGGAAGGTGCTGCACTTAGACTAAGAAGATGAGGGAGATGTATGTTAAAGAACGTTCATGTTTCTATCACCGTTAAGCATGAATGGCTTGGTTCAGGAGTTAGTTGCTCTGTAACAGGAGTGGTACTGAGATTTACGTGCTTAGTGTCAAAGACCTATGTTGTTTCTGGGTTTAAATAATGTAGATGTGAAACAGAGCCAGGGGTGGACCGGCCTATCTGGCACTGGCTGCTTGCCCATCTTGGACCGACGCATCCCCCTCCCCGCTCTCACATTCAGCGGAATGGAAACGCCACATGCAGACCCTACTTATGGTGGATGGATAAAAAAAAATGGCAGGGCCGAATTGTCGTCCCAGTCCACCCCTGAACAGAGCTTTAACCATTACGCTGCTGGTAGAAAAAGCAGCAATGTGACCAGTTAATTCCCATTTTCCTGTGTGATAAATGTCCAGAATATAAGGAGGCATGGCCAGCAACATCGTTTTCTTAAAGGGGCCGATCCTAAAATGGCTCATTCTGGAAGGTACTGAAACTGTTGACAATTAAACTAGTGAGACTGCTTTGAGAGAGGAATTTTAGGGTCACTTCATACTTTGTTTAGACCATATGTTCCCTTCATCCACACTTCACCCAAGTCTGCATCGATGCGTACTTGGGTGGTGTATTACTCACAACCCATCGCTGCGTGAGAACAGGCTCAAGTTCCTTTTCTGAAAATACGTATTTTGATGATGGTCCTGCCGGAGGAGCTGGTGGAGGTGGCCGGGGAGAGGACGGTCTGGAGCTCCCTAGTTGGGATGCTGCCGCTGCGACCCGGATAAGCGGAGGAAGACGACGACGTACTTTCTAATGAAAGTAGGTAATTTTAGGACAATTTTGAAAACTGTTAAATTTAGGTCACATTTACTTGAAATAGTTTTGAAAAAAAGCAAACCCCAAAACCTAAGTCTGAAAAAGTTTGGTTTACTTTAAAATAAAGCAAACACATTAAAGAAATGTGAAGTGGTAAGATGAGTGCATCAGACTTCAACTTATGAATGTACCAGACTAACTAAAAGTAATAAATAAAAATAGACTTATTTGCTAATTTTAATATCAACTGTATAAATATCAGTTATCATTTCATTATATAACATACTGTTTAGTAGGGCTGGACAAATATAATTATAAAATGTACAAAATATATTTTAAATGCAACCCTGGCCATTTGATGTCATTGATTTATGATTAAACAAGTTGGTTGCACTCCTCGATTTTTAACAGATTCTCTGTAAACATTTCAATTGATCATCTTTTTTATCAGACATCCAAAAACCAAAATACTGCTGCACTGGTGAACTACTGAAACCTTTAAACAGGACAGTTTCCTCCACCGGTCCTTGCCGCAACATCTTCCTTTCCGTTTTGGTTTGAGAGAGTAGGGATTGGTGATGGAGCATGCCTGGGTCTGTTTTTGATTGGTTTGGAGTAAGTACTGAATCTAGTATTAAGGTACCTGGTAAGCTGTAATTAAGAGGAAACTTTTTATTAAGGTTTTTCTGACTCTTCCTTGAAGCAAGTTTTAAGAGCCAGGGCCAAACACAGATTTTATGATTTAAAAAATAAATTGTGAAACCACAAAATAAGAAAACAACGTTTAATTCTGAACAGTGAACGTATAAAGATAAAAAAATAGGCACTTAACATGAAATAAATACATCAGAAATCACGAGTCACTGTCATCCGAGCTGGACTCACTGGAGGAACTGGTGGAAGCGTCTGAAGAACTGTTGCTGTGATTGGAGGCAGTTTGGCTTTTCTCTGGATAAAGTAAAGCAAAACAAGCACCAGAACTGTTAAATCCCATTCACGGCAAAGGCAAATAACTCAAAGAAGTTTGCAGAAATTATTTGTACTTACTGTGAAATTTCTTGAATCTCTTGTAAAGGCAGGACCTGACATATCGTTGGAGCTCACGCAGCGTGGAGGTCTTCAGGATCTCGAAGTCAATCTCGATCTCATCCAGGTTGGAGCTGCACATGGCAGGCTCTAGGCTCTGAATGATCTCCACCACGTGTCCCAGCCTCGTGCCAGGTAAACGGTTAATGTCCAGGCTCAGCTGGTGCTTCTCTTCATAAGACATCTGCAGAGATTGGCCATCTGAATCCCAGTCTTGGATCCTTTCACAGGGCGGTCTGAAATCATGGCAAAATGTGAGGTCTTTGTTTACAAATTAAAAACTTAATTAAAACATTTTACCTTGAAATGAAGGTTGATAATCTTTTACTCAGTCTGCTGCATTCATTTTTGTCCTTTTCCTGCATCATGGGTCTTTCAGACAGGGCAGCAAGCTGATTGTGGACAGACTCAAACTGGGAGGTGTAACAAACACGGGTTACTTTGATGCAAGCTCATATTAAACACAAATTCTAAGTGAACTAAAAACACCAAGAAATGAATAGCAGCATAATGGAGGGGGTAATAACTCAAACTTAAAACCCCTCATTTACTGTTTTATGTCAGCTCTAGTTCCTCTTCTTTAATCTACATCCATTTTCACACATGAATACAGGAGACACTCGTGAGAACACGTGGTTACAGACTCCACAGCAGCAGAGTACAGATGAGGCTCCCTTTTGTGGTGGCACCAACACAACGCGTATTAAAGTGTTCACAGCAACAAGTAGAAACCAGCATGAAGCAGGAACTTGAACCAGCTCGTGCGTTCACGCATTTGGAATAGACCCCTTAGAGATGTGCCGTTATGTTTGTATGCTGCGTGACTTCAGATATTTAACTAGAGCTGAATCGAATAGGTCTGCAAAAACAAAACTCATATCTAAAAAGCTGCATAACATTTTGTAACGCAGAAATTTGTACAGGAACCCACCTGGTCGTGCACTCCAGAAGGCCAAGAGGAACGTTCTTCCACAGACTGTGTTTGGTCCATATTGGAGGAACGTTTGCCGTCTGATCCACAGAGAGCTGCACTCTCGGCAGCCATGACGCTACCCGGTGTGGTTAACTCCACCTGCTCATCTGGCATCTTTGCAAACTTCTGCTCAAACACTCCCTGACGCATTCAAACAGAAATACATTTGTTTAGAAACAGAAGACTAGTCTTTTAACATATAACACAGGCTGCATGGTGGCTCAGCAGGTAGCAAGAAGGTTGCAGGTTTGAATCCCCAACTATCTGTGTGCAGTTAGCATGTTCTCCCCATGCATGTGTGGGTTTTCTCTGGGTACTACAAATTTCCTCCCACAAACAAAAACATATGCATGTCAGGTTTACGGGAGAGGCTAGAGTTTGTGTGTGTGTGTGTGTGTGTCGTTTGTCTCCGTGTGTCCCTGTGATGGACCGGTGACCTGTCAATGGTGTCTCCGACCTCTTGCCCAATGTCTGCCAGAGATAAGACACCAGCTCCTGTAACCCTGATGAGCACAACAAGTGACTGAGTGAGTGATTCACAACACACCTGCAGCTTTCTGGCCATTTCAACGACAAAGTGATGTGAGGGGTTGTATTTGTAGCAGTTGGAAAAAATTAACCGGACATCTGCAGCAAACTGTTGTGAGTCTTTGTATTCTCCATCATCCATCTTTTTCTGCACATTCACAACAAAAAGCAAAGTGAATCTTCAGCGGCGTGCCAGGGTATGTACAGATAAATAAAATCAAGGCTGTGTTAGTGAATCTACTTTTACAGTGCTGAGGTCCATCGGGTATTTGATGATGTCATGGTAATCATGGATCCCAAGAGCTTCAGCATCAACAGGCAGGTAGAAAGGCCAAGCGTAGGCCGAGTGTTTCTTAGAGAGCATATCCTTCAGGATGTCGTTGCAGTACTTCAGCTGATCGCTCCAGCCTCCCTGAGCAGTTTCTTGCTGCTGCAGGTCTTTCTCTTGACCGTCACTCTTTGCATGGTTTATCATTTGCTCTGCACTTTCACGCCTTTTCCTGTTTTCTAAGAAAGACAGTAAAGGTGCAATAAATACTACATGGTAGGCTAAAACATTACACTTTAACCTCGGCTGCCTCACCTGCAGTGCTACTCTTCCTGCCTCTACCTTTGGCTGCATGAGGACAAACTTCCTTCTCTTTCGGAGGCATCTGGGCAACTCTTTGCAGGAAAATCTTTTCCAAGGCAAGGGCCATCAGCACAATGTCATCTGTAGGCTGCAGAGGAGGGTGAAGAAAACCCTGTAAGAGTTCAGTTCCTGTTTTAGAAATAAATCACTTTAAACAACCCAGCAGCCCCTTGCCTTGTTATATATGTAGCAGTTGGTGAACATGGTGTTGAAGTCCTGCATGCATTCACTGGCACTCCAGTAGTAGTTGTTCTCCAGCCGTTTCTTGATGGTGCCCATGTCCATGGGAGAGGTGATGACCTTGTGATAGTCCTGATAAAGAAGAAGAGACCGTTCAGGTGGTTCTTCGGTCTCCACATTCTCAGATAAAGAGACATAATTTGCTTGTTATTGAAGCCATACATTAAAACATGAGCTAGGATTTAAATGACAGACGGGAGAAGCAGATGTGTTCAAAACAAGCAAAGAGTTTACTTCTGAAGAGGCTGAAGCGTCTGAGTTTTTAATGATCACGTTTTTATATGTGCCTTTTTGACTTTATGTAGAATCAAAAACAGAAGTTTAAAAATATTAACTACAAGTATTTTATCATTTGTCATAAAAATCTAAACTTTACAAAAAAGTAAACAAAATTCTAGAAAATTGGCTAGTGATCATATTTTGGTCTCAAGTTATGATCAAATTAATTTTGACCAAACAAATCATGACGAGTCTTTACGTAAAGGTTGAAATCAGCATAATTACATTGTTACCACCACTCTCATTAAATGAAACTACAAAACACAGTTTGCTAAAATACAAACTCCATAAAGTTACAGGAAAGCTGTTACCAAGAATAATTTGATGTGTTGAGTATAATAATGAATAAAAGAGCCTTTTAAAACCACCGTCACAGTAGCGCTGAAGACAGTGAAACAGGAGTAAGAAGTTAAAGAGACAGTTTCGATAATATTCATAGAATAAAAGAAAAGACAAAGAGGGGAAATCTTAGGGATTTAGAAGCATTTTTACTTGTCCCAAAAACAAAAGATACAATAAACTGATGTAAAGAATGAAAAACCGATGAATATTCAAAGATTTCGCTTATATACACACACAACATAATTCACTTGCATTACTCTCAATGGGTTGCTGCATTTAAACTTTTAATAATTACTGTAAATATATTATTACATTTCTGTACAGCAGAAGACTTAGGCCAGAAAAAAAGCAAATATGCATGAATTAATTAGACCAATTGTTTAAGCATTTACCTTACAAGCTTACATTTCTTCTGTCAAACAAAAACCAAATAATGGTACCTAGAATGTTTGATTACAGAAACGTAGATGTTTTTACTTGCAGAACAAACGGTACACCCATTACACAAATGACATCAGACCAATCTGCCAACAACATATCAATGGAGTTCAAGCTACTCACTGGTAGATTGAGAGCAGCTGCATCAACAGGGTTGTGGAAAGGCCAAGCATAGTGGTGCCGCCAAAGCGCTTTGACCACAACATTCTGCATGAACTGCAGCTGGTTGGTCCTCCGCCCTGGCTTGCTAGGATTGGTCACCTCAGGAGGGGGAGGATTCACAAACTGAAGAGGTCCCGGCCCCGTGTTCACTGACATGATGCCGATAAAACGTTTCTGTTATCTTGTGTCAGTCGTGCACGGTGTGTCCTTCAGCTCAGCAAAAACTCTTGAGGATCTGCAGTTCGTACCACACATGGAACCATGCTGTTGAATGAAACAGGAAACAGTTTTAATAACAATAATTATAACAATAATGCTATTCTCTTTATCCAAAAATTAGACTGCATAAACAAAATGCACTAAAATAGGACAGCCAAATATAGATGAGCATTTAACATTTTTTTAAAACCGATACAAATATGAGATGAAACGTTGCAAAAACCTGGTGGTGAGTTGGCTCAGATGGTGGGGGAGGATGCCGGTCAGACCAGGCAGGCCTAAAAGTATCGCGAGGGTCTGCTGGGAACGTCTGGCAGAGTCTCCTGTCAGAAGGAACTTCAATTCCCACCTCTGACAGAACTTCCAAAATGTTCCGGAGTGGGTGGGGGACATTGAGTCTGAATGGACCCTGTTCCATGCCTCCATCGTTGAGGCGGCCGACTGAAGCTGTGGTCGCAGGAACGTCGGTGCCTGTCATGGTGGCAACCCCCGAACCCGCTGGTGGACACCGGCGGTTAGGGATGCTGTCAAGCTGAAGAAAGAGTCCCATCAGGTCTTTTTGGCCTGTGGGACTCCAGAGGCAGCTGACGGGTACCGGCAGTCCAAGCGGAATGCGGTTCAGGTGGTTGCCAAGGCAAAAACCCGGGCATGGGAGGAGTTCGGTGAGACCATGGAGTAAGACTTCCGTACGGCTTCGAGGAGATTCTGGTCTGGCGCCTCAGGGGGGGAAAGCAGTGCACTACCAACACTATCTATAATGGGGACGGTGTGCTGCTGACCTCTACTCAGGACGTTGTGGATCGGTGGGCAGAATACTTCAAAGACCTCCTCAATCCCACCGAAACGTCTTCCAGTGAGGAAGCAGAGTCTTGGGACTTTGGGATGGCCTCTCAAATCTCTGGTGCTGAGGTCACTGAGGTGGTTAAAAAGCTTCTCTGTGGCAAGGCTCCAGGGGTGGATAAGATCTGCCGGGAGATCCTTAACTCATTCACTGCCAGCCATTTCCTGATCAATAACGCCTTCGCTGCCAGCGTTTCTCACCGTTTTTACTGTTTTTTAAGTCACAGAACGTTGCACGCTAGAATGATGTCGATGCCAAAACAAAGAGGAGACTCACCTCTTACATCAGGAAGAAGCCGTGTGTTTCGAGCGTTATCCGTTCTTTCATAATCCGTTGTCGAATTGTGATCGGTAGACGCTTTTCCGGTTCGTGCCTCACTTTTTTTACAGGAACGGCCCAAAACGATCTCCTAACACATGGATGTGTTGCTTCCTGATCATGTGATCTGTGACGTATGCGGATGATGATTGGCTTCAGGGCTGAGATGCTTGTTCTCTCAGCGCGGGGGCTCGTTCTGATGCTCAAACAGTAAAGAATGCAAATGACGACTTTAGTCGTCAATGGCAGTGAATGAGTTAAGGCTCTGGATGTTGTGGGGATGTGTTGGCTGGCGCAGCTCTGCAATATCGCGTGGACATCGGGGGCAGTCACAATGAACTGGCAGACTGGGGTGGTGGTGCCCTTATTTAAAAAGGGGGACCGCAGGGTGTGTTCCAACTACAGGGGGATCACGCCTTCCTGGTAAGGTCTATTCAGAGGCTCTGGAGAGGAGGGTCCGTTGGATTGTTGAACCTCAGATTCAGGAGGAGCAATGTGGTTTTCGTCCTGGCCGTGGAACACTGGACCAGCTCTATACCCTTAGGGGAATCCTGGAGGGTGTGTGAGAATTTGTCCGACCAGTGTAGGTGTGTTTTGTGAATTTGGAGAAGGCGTTTGACCACGTCCCTCAGGGGGCCCTGTGGGGGGTACTCAGGGAGTATGGGTACCAGGCCCTCTGATACGGGCTGTTAGGTCCCTGTATGACCAGTGTCAGAGCTTGTTCCACATTGCCAGCAGTAAGTCGGGCTTGCTCCCAGTGAGAGTTGGACTCCACCAAGGGTGCCCTTTGTCACCGATTCTGTTCATAACCTTTATGGACAGGATTTCTAGGTGCAGCCAAGGTGTGGAGGGCATCCGTTTTGGTGACCTGAGGATCAGGTCTCTGCTTTTTGCAGATTATGTGGTCTCTCTTTATTCTGCTCTCCCCACCTATTCCACCTTCCTCAGTAACCACTGTTTACCCTTTTCTCTCTCTCTTTCTTAACATTTGTTTTATCACAATAGTCTCTTTTTTTGCTCATTTTAAATATATTTTTAAACATTTTCTAAATGCTTTTTTTTATAGTTTTACATTTTTTGTTTTTGTGAAGCGCCTCGTGATTTTTATCTTGAGAGGTGCTATAGAAATGATATTTTCTTCTTCTTCCTGTTGGCTTCATCAGAACGTGATCTTCAGCTTTCGCTGGAGCGATTTGCAGCCGAGTGTAAAGCAGCTGGGATGAGAATCAGCTCCTCTAAATCTGAGACCATGGTCTTGATTCGGAAAAGGGTAGAATGCCTTCTCCGGGTCAGGGATGAGGTCCTGCCCCAAGTGGAGGAGTTTAAGTATCTCGGGGTCTTGTTCACGAGTGAGGGAAAACTGGAGCTTGAGATCGATAGGCGGATTGGTGCTGCATCTGCAGTGATGCGGGCGTTGTACCGGTCTGTCGTGGTGAAGAGAGAGCTGAGTCAGAAGGTGAAGCTCTCGATTTACCGGTTGATCTACATTCCTACCCTCACCTATGGTCATGAGCTTTGGGTAGTGACCGAAAGAACAAGATCGCGGATACAAGAGGCCGAAATGAGTTTTCTCCAAAGAGTGGCTGGGCTCTCCCTTAGAGATAGGGTGAGAAGCTCGGTCATTCGGGAGGAGCTCGGAGTAGACCCGCTGCTCCTCCACATCGAGTGGAGCCAGTTGAGGTGGCTCGGGCATCTGGTCTGGATGCCTCCTAGACGCCTCCCTGGTGAGGTTTTACGGGCACGTCCAACCGGGAGGAGACCTGAAGGTAGACCTAGGACAAGGTGGAGGGACTCTGTCTCGTACCTGGCCAGGGAATGCCTTGGGATTCCCCCGGAGGAGCTGGCCCAAGTGGCTGGGGAGAGGGAAGCCTGGGCCTCTCGCCTTAGGCTACTGCCCCCGCGACCCGACTCCGGATAAGCGGATGAAAATGGATGGACGGACGTTGCAAAAACAAAAATGACATTGACAAGACTTCCAGTGGGCATACTTCTGTAATTTATTTTTCAACAACCACATAAACTGATTTTCAATTATTTTACTAGATCTAACTTCAGACTCAAACTGGAATTTGTTTCCTTGAACAGATGAAGCACAATGTGTAATGTGTGCTTCATGTCATAATTATAATAGACAAAAAAAAAAATCAGGTCTAAAAAAGTCCTGAGATGTATTGATCTTTAGTTTATCTGATGTATGACACATTCAGCTAATGACATTGTAACCCGTTTCCGCAGGAAAACAAAATAGTTTGTCTGTCAAGCTAACCCTAACTAGAGTAAAAAAAAAAAACTACAGCAATCCAAACAAAAACTTTAAACTAAGTAATGTGACGTAACCTAAGAACATTATTTTTACATATTTTGACAATGTATGTACTTATCAGTGATACCTGTTAGGATAAAGCAGTCTGTTAAGCACTGCTGATTCATATCAGGTGTGCTGAAGCAGAAAAACCTTTTACATCAGGGGTCTCCACTATCCAGCAAGTTTTTGTTGTTTCCCTGCTCCAACACACCTGTTTCAGTGATTAAATTACAGGTTCAAGGAGTCATCAAGCTCTGCAGAAGATGGTCGTTAATTACCTGCTGATTACAGTCAGCTGTGTTGAATCAGAGACCTCTCTAAATTTTGCCTTCTTCAAGCCAGGAGACTCGTAACCAACGTGCACGTTCAAATATTTATAGAAAAAAAATCTGGCGGACGTGACAACGTGCACGTTAGCCACAAGAACAGAACACGAGACAAAGCTCAGTTTAAAGTTAGAAGACATTTGTCAACATGATTTCAGATTCCCGAAATAACTTGTAAAAGCTTTTTATAAGCGGTGACGCAGAAGATATCGTCAAATACTTTTCGTTTACAGTGAAAAACGTGGCGTAATGTACGAATGAGACTAAATGACTAAATAAGCGAGATGGTTTTACTCAAAATGTATTAAAATGTAGGTTTGGACAAAGCGACATGATTGGCTTTAAAAGGTTTCAAATACTTATCGTGAAATAAAAACACAAGTATGCACGATGTTCGTTAGCATAAAGTTAGCTAGCTGGTTTGGTAAGGGACACTACAGCGGATGACAACACACTTTGTGACACCGACTGTTGATATAAGTTTCGAAATACCAACTACAGGTTTTGGTTAAGTAACGTTTGCTTTAATTTGGGGCAAAATGTAGCGCCAATAAATAAGCTTGAATTAAATTATCATATAACGAAGCGAAGAAGTCCGCTTCTTTAAACACCTATTGTTGTTATGGAGGAGGCTAACCGCTAAGTAATGAGTAAAAATAAGAAAATAACAACAGAAGTGTTTACCAACTCATTTAAGAGGGCGTGTTGACATGGGAGCTTGACGCTGCACGGCTTGGAAGAAAGTTCACCGAAGCCAAAACAAACTAGTGAACACCAGAGTGCAGTGTGTTCAAAAAGAACTAGAAACTTCTTCCCCGACCTATTGCAGCCACGGCTGAAGGGACAGGTCTGGTGCTCATAGCGCCATCTGTTGAGCCGGAGAATCCAAAGCGCGTTCACAGCTGATTTATGGTAAAAGTGTGAAATCTGCATTTCACAAAATCATATTTATAATTGTGGAAAGTATTGAGCTAAAAAGAAAATGGTTAGGGTTATATAAATAAATGCAAGTGATTTACTATGAAAATATCACAGTCAGTAGTTCATAACTACATAAAGCATAAAATAAGGTTGCGACATATTAAAGATATGTAATTTGTTTGTTTTATTTAGATTTTTGTTTGCTGTGTGTTTGTTTCTGTTTCATGTAGACTTTTCCTTTTTGCATATTGATTGACTCTGACAGCCACAGCCTGGTTTTTAAATGGCTACTGCCTTTCATTGAAATTTAGATGAAGTATTTCACATAATGTACTTCTACAAATTCTCTGTTGAGAATTTTTGTCATTTTAAATTTAAAAAATACAAACTTGTAATAAATAAGATTAATTAAAACTATTGGGCTCTTTTCAAACGGCAGTCGAAACGATTTTTTCATAATTGTCCCTCATTAGTTCCCGTCACTTTTGAACGTCATGCGCCTGCGCAAACTGTAAGCACATTCCCCGCTTCACCTCGCAGCTCGTTCCTTTACCAGGCAAACATCCTCAAGCAAATAGCTTGATTTGTTCTTTGTTCTATCTCTCTTTAGTTATTATACGGACTGTTTTAGATTTCCAGGATTTGCAAGGAGTACCAGTCTGACTGTAGATCTAAATTGATCAACGTAAGTATCGGTGTAAAACCGAATCTTCATTGTTTCAATGGAGGCCCCCTTCTTGGCTGCATAACTTGTCAACAGCATCAACTGCATGTCAAAACTGCGATTAGCTTCTTCATATAACTGTGGCGTTCATGCCAAAATACATTTTATTCCGCGAGACAGCCTCTAATCTATAGATCTTCACGTTGTTTTGTTCGAAGGTAACCCAAGTATATTCAGGTGTTGAACTTTACAGCGAACGTACTCGTTCTCCCTTTGTTTGCTTTTATTTTTCGCATAAATAATAATTCGAAGCAAAAACGAGCTGGTGTCAATGCATTTGAAGGCAACACAAGATGGTAAACGGTAACCGGACAAGGGGGTTGGCCTCAATCGGTTTTCATAGTAAGAGCAATTTAACGTTAGCTAACTTCAGCTAGCTGCATTAGCTAATTTTATAGCTAAACGGACCCTAAACGGGCATTTAAATACTTTTGAGCATCACAGCCTATTAATAAGCCTAATTAAAGTAAAATTTACATGATATATACTTAATTTATCTTATTTAAAGTAAACCCCACTGTTTATTTTAGATCACAGTAAAGGAAGCTAATGCTAACAGATAAAACAATAGTTTTTAATCACGTTTACCTTAATGGTGGTTATTAGCAGTCATCGAGCTGGAGGGTTTATTTTATTTCTCCAAACTTTAAAATTCCGGGTGTTAGAAATTGTAAAATTTCCACCCAATAACTTATCCCAGTTGTTTAATCTTTAGGTTTAACTTGCCTGATTTATTAACTTTTTTTATGGTTTCTTCTTTTGTCTCAGGTGCAATAGATGCTGATTTCCTCACCATGGCAACAGAGGACAAGAAACCAGAGACTGACACCAAGCCTCCAGTTGTCCCATCAGCCTCTGCTAGCCAAAGCAAGGTCTGACAAACCCAAGTTTTGGCATTGCCTGTAATCTCCCACCCTGTCCTCTTATGATAGTTTAATTCTAAGTTTTTGTTAAGGACTGTCAATATTCCAGCATTATTTCGGATTTTTTCTTTCTTTATTGAAAGTATTTCATCATGTTTATTCATTTGCTAAATTAGAACTGGTTTTCTTTTGCAGACTGCACCTGCAAAACCAAACTACAGTTTGAAATTCACACTAGCGGGACACACTAAGGCTGTGTCCTCGGTTAAATTCAGTCCAAGTGGAGAATGGCTCGCCAGCTCGTGTAAGCATCTCATTTTGAATCATATCTTGTTTAAATCTCAGCTACCTCAACATAAATCTTCTTTCATTCCATAATAAAATGTATTGGGTTTTGTGAAACTATGTTTGATCCAGAGCTTTTTTTAAAGTTTGATAAAACACTTGTACTGCATAGATGAAGTGTATTTTGTGCTCTAAGTTAAATGTAAATAACAATAATAGCAGTGCTTTAGTGACTAAATATTCTTATGCAATTGTGAAATTTTTATTGGTTTTAGTATTTATCTTTGGGTACACTCGTTTCATTTGAATATCTGATCAGCTGAAATGATTGAAATGGGGAAATTATATATTTTTTACCATTTTGCAACTTTTCAGTCATTTTTTTTCTCTTTTTCATGATGTTTTTTTCATTGTTTGTGTTACAGCTGCTGATAAACTCATCAAAATCTGGGGCGCTTATGATGGCAAGTTTGAGAAAACCATTTCTGGACACAAACTTGTGAGTAGAAGGGACCCTTACCTGTGGCACTGTTGTGTTTCTGCCTGCAGGACTGTATTAGGTAGAGTTTCACCGCTTTTACTAAAACATCAAAGACTCCTCCCACCCTGGTCATTACTGTTTTGAACTCTTGCCGTCCAGTTGGTGCAAACAATCCCCTTCCCCACAGCAGTAAACTAAATGTACTAAAACCCTCTCATGCGCATTAGAGCAAAAACCTCAGTCACCAGTGCAATAAGTCTAATATAAAGTGAATACATTTACTGCTGCTACATATCTAGTAAACATGTACTTCTGTTTATATATTTATATCTGTTCTTTTTTTCTTCTGTTATTCCAAACACACCATTTGAGTGCCATGCAGCAGCAGAGGGTATTCACATGCAGTGAATAATAAAAACTTTGAGTCTGATCTGTTTGGTCGTTCAAAGCAAGAACAAGATTGTATTTACATTTTTAGAAGATAAACATGAGAAATGACTCCATTGTTTACTCTTGTATCATTTTATGTCCTTGAAGCCTTGAGATCTTAGAATTTCTTTATTTTCCAGGGAATATCTGATGTGGCCTGGTCATCTGACTCCAACCTTCTTGTTTCTGCGTCGGATGACAAAACTCTGAAGATCTGGGACGTTAACTCGGTAAGAATGTTTTAAGGTGTGGTTCATTGAAAAACCTTTTTTAATGATTATTTCAGTTACTCTGAGTTTTTCATGCAGGCTGAACATGACAAAAGTCTCCTATCTTCTGGATTAGCTAGAAAATAGATGGTGAAAGTCTAGGGTTAGAAAATCCTGACAGATCCACTTTACACTGTCACTAAACATTCATGGGCTCACCCATCTTGGCTCATGACGAGGACGGCTATTGTTGGTTTAGCGTCCAGAAAACAGCATAGAACATCTCGGCTGGTAGAAGCTAACCGTTAGCATTAGCAACTCCACCACACAGCAGAAGCTCATTCAGGCTTGTGTTAGTTGTGCAGATAAAACATCAGCGTTGCAGAGCAAACAGTGAGTGGTAGAGCTGTGTTGCTGTTATCCAATCTAAGGTGAGACGTCCAAATATCAGGAAGTAAAATTTGAAATCCTGTCATCTGAAGCTACTTTCTCCTCTAACTTCTCTGTGCTGAAACAGGTGCACCGGAGCTTTTTTTCCCTCCGCACTACGACTTGCAAGGCATTCATTCCTATTAGGAGCTACTGCAAACGTATTAAACTTGAGTGAAGAACCTCTAGTGTGTTTGAATTTGAAATGTGCCACATGAACCGGTTTCTATGTGATTTCAGGGAAAGTGTTTAAAAACTCTGAAAGGTCACAGCAACTATGTCTTCTGCTGCAACTTCAACCCGCAGTCCAATCTCATCGTGTCAGGATCGGTGAGTACGCCGCCGACTGTGGAGCTCTGATTTTAAACCCAACAACGGTTCTTATTGATCTCTGCCCCGTTTGTAGTTTGACGAGAGCGTCAGGATATGGGATGTGAAAACTGGGAAGTGTTTGAAGACATTGCCGGCTCATTCTGATCCTGTCTCTGCTGTGAGTTTTATTTCTTTTTAAACTTGAAGTTTATCTCTTAAATGTGACAGGATTGTGTGAACAGCTGACGCGTGTTTGATGTTGCAGGTTCATTTCAACAGAGACGGTTCCCTGATCGTGTCCAGCAGCTACGACGGCCTCTGGTGAGTCCCTTCTGTTCCACCAGGATCTTAGTTCTGGTTCTCTGGCTGTGCTCGTCTAATGGGCTCGACACACGAGAGGCGACATCGCCTCTCCTCCATTCATTTTCAATGAGACATGCGTGACAAAGCGATAATCGCGGGTCTCTCTCCTACTAAGCGAAACGCGAAAAACGTGCGTGTGAAATTTTGCGCTCGTGCACGTGTCGTGCACGGACGACCCAGCGATGCAATCCCAGAAAGTTGAAACATTTTCAACTTTGCATCGCTGTCGCTTGGACGAGGACCAATCAACAGAGGTTTCATTCACTGACCAATGAGCGGACAGGATGCTCTGCACACCTCCGAGCAAACATGGAGGAGAAGTTGATTATTATTATGTTTTATAGTAAAATCAGAAGTAAGATTTCACATAACTCTAGCAGCACCTTGTGAAACATCATATCTACCGCTTTTTTAACTCTGAACCGCTTAAATAACCTTAATTCCCTCCAACCTGACACAGCCAAACAAAACAACGGAAGTTTCGATTTCGCCACGGAACAGAATGCGTAGACGGCTTTGCCGCTGGCTGCTGCCGCGGGTCTCCTCCCGTGTGACAGGTAATAAAAGCGACGGCGACAAATTTCGCTGTTCGCGGTCGTTTGTCGCCTCCCGTGTGTCGAGCCCATTACAGTTGGGTTTTCAAAATACAATCTGTCTAGGAATTAGTATTCTGTTCTGCTGCCCGATAGAACTTAACTGAGTTGCCTTTTTGACCCTACAGCAGGGTAATGGTTATTTATTCCTATTAAGTAACAGTTTTGTTTTTGTCCAGTCGGATCTGGGACACTGCATCCGGACAGTGTTTAAAAACTCTCATTGGTAGGTTTGAACCAATATCCCTTAAAATATCTTTTAAATTGTGACGTTATTGTTTAAACTCGTTTGTTTCTACTTGTTTGCTCTTTTATGTCAGATGATGACAACCCTCCAGTGTCGTTTGTGAAGTTTTCTCCCAACGGGAAATACATCCTGGCTGCCACACTGGATAAGTGAGTGCATGGCTTTACCCTGCAGGGGGCGGCACAGCGCCACGATGTCCGCTCTCTACAGAGAAACAAGCATTTCTTCTACTTTGGTTTTGTTACTGGAACCATTCAACACATTCTCTACTTTTTCAGCACGCTGAAGCTGTGGGATTACAGCAAAGGAAAGGTAAACAAAAATAAAGACATCCGTTACTCTTTATGTACAGGGATTTGTTTTGGCAGAAGTTTTTATAGCTATGCAAAAGAGAAGGCAACTTCTTCTGTTGTTACAGTTTTTAAGATTTCTCTCTGATGCTAATATAAAAAGGTAATATAAAAACTAGCCAGTTAACACAGTTTCAGCTGGTTTTACTGGTGTCCAGAAGAGAAAACGGTGTGAACTTGTTTGGTGGGTCAGTGATGAAACTGGTTCTGTTGGCAGATCTAAATATGTGTCCAAAAGGAAAAAAAGAGTCATCTAGAATGTTTTTAAAACCAAAAGTTGGCAATAGAACCAGCTGTTACAAAGAATAGCGTTTAAATGTCTGAAGGTAAAGCTTCTTCCTCTTGGAAATGCCTTTTTTACTTGTAATGATCACAATAACAGAGCTGAGCCAGATTCCTGCCTGCTTCTACAGTTTTCATAAGCTGATTGTTTCCAACCCTGTTACTTTTGAACCAGACATTTGCTTTGAACTAATAAATAAAAAATACATTTATTGATGGTGACATTTCAGAGAGTGTGATTTTGACTTTTAAAAAATGTTCCACCATTTCAGTGCTTGAAGACGTACACGGGCCATAAAAACGAGAAGTACTGCATATTCGCCAACTTCTCTGTCACCGGGGGAAAGGTATGACCTCTCAGTGCTGAAGGAGCTGCAGAGTGTAGCTGGGATCTGATGCTGGGCCTCTGCTCTTTTGCAGTGGATCGTGTCTGGCTCGGAGGACAACATGGTTTATATCTGGAACCTGCAGACGAAGGAGATTGTGCAGAAACTCCAGGGGCACACAGGTACAGCAGCTTTGTTTAAAAAGTTCTGAAGTGAGGTGTGTGTGTAACACGTTCCTGTGTCTACATCCAGACGTCGTCATCTCGACTGCCTGCCACCCGACAGAGAACATCATTGCATCTGCAGCGTTAGAAAACGACAAAACCATCAAGCTATGGAAAAGCGACTGCTAAACGCCCTCCTTTTTTAGTTTTGGGGCTGTTCATCTTTATTATTTTTCCTACATTGTGCTGTTCAACATGAGGACCCTTTTCTAATGGATGCTGAGAGCTGATCAAATTCTGCAGGGAAAGGCAAACTCCTCTCAGCCCTACGTATCGTATCTGCAGCGAACGCGCCCCTCTGGTGCCGGATTCTCTGCGTCTCATTAGAGAAACACTGACTTATTTTAAAAGATGGTTCTGAAGTTTCAGTATAATTCACACTGCATTTGCCTCTGCTTCACAACAGCTCTTGTACAATAAATGTAATGATTACTCGTCCTTCCAATGAGTTGTCTTCATTTGTGTGGAAAAACTACAGAAAAGCTGAAATTTGCATCAAATACCCTTTTTTATTTATATAAGTGGTACCAAAACGGGAAATCTAACTCACATGTCATTGGATGTTGGCAGCAGATTGTTGAGTTTTTTTAAGCAAATTATAGTTCGATGAGGGAAATAAAGTTTTGTGTGAATTAAAGTAATGGTAACCTTTTTTTTAAAGTGTTTTCTTTGTTTAAACTGACTAAATCTGTATATATCACACTGGCATAAAGCTTGTTTTATTCCACCACACAGATTAGCTCGCAGCTGCGCTCGCTAATCCAGCAGCATCTTGCCTAGCTGAACCTGTGGATATTTGTTTTGCATCTGACCACTGCTAAATAAAATCCGGTTTTGTATGTTTCATGTGTTTTTACTTCACAATCAGCATCACTTCAAAGTTTAATCTTTTATTCAATAACATTTTTTCTGTCCATGGTAGAACATTAGAGCAACCCACAAACAACAGATGGCAAAACGTTTCATCTTGAAAATGAACAAAAAGAACTATAATGAGCAGAAACATTCCCGACTTGCAGCGACGGGATGGAAATGGCAAAGTAAAGGCGACAGTTACCAAAGTGCCAAAGCTGACCCCCCCATGAGACTCGAATAAGCTTTTCCACAGCGAACATGACAAACCCACAGAAAGAAGGGAAAGAACAGAGTACATAAGCCGGGGCTAAAATTACCTTTGTACAAAAATAGATCTTTTTTCAACATTTTTTTTTCCAACTAGAACATTTTACTGTCAATGCAACAAAGAAAGCAGTGATTGTGTCACAAGTTCCGCTTTTTCCTGATTACACTTCTTTTCTATTCGAACACACATTTGCTAAGCAACATATACAGTTTTTTGGAGAGATTAAATGTCTTTTTCTCCTAATTTTTCAAGGTCACAGAAAACGGCTGAGAAGCTGGTTGTTTTGAGCTGACGCACTTCTGCTGGTTTGATAAACAGTTCAAATCTCTCTGATGTCTAAGAAAACCCCACCTGGTTTGGTCTGAAAGACTCCTCCAACTTTAGAATTTGGAAATCTTCAAAAAAACATCTGCTGATATATATATATATATATATATATATATATATATAAATATATACAAATATACATATTAAAATATAGCTTCATGTTCTAAAGCGTTTGTAGGTAATCATTCTACACAGATGTTTGTAACTTTTCCATGGAGATCCATGTCTTTTTTTCCTGCTGGGGCGTGAACATCAAACACTTATTTTATTCATTGATTTAATGGCTTTAGTCACCACTCACAGTCAGCTAGAAAAGAGAAACACAAGACCCAAGAAAACAGATGGAAACACACGTTTGATAGTTTAACACCAGCTGTTCTTGATAAAATTACCCTCTAGGGGGAAAAAAAGATCTTTTTGCAGAAAACTCTCAAAATTTTTCATTTTCTCTGTTTCCCCCGAAATAGAAATACTGTAAACGGAGCTCAAGCTGGCAGTTAATACTGTCACCTGGATAGGCTGTATAATGGAGGCCACCTCCTGTAAATACGAAACAAGCCAATATTTCAGATCAAAGTTATTGCTGCTTTTTCTCATCTTAAAGCTATAAGTGACTAATGATATTTGCCTGAAGAGAAGGGTAAACTTTTGTGTTTTTTTTTCTGTTTAAAACTTGCAAAGTTCAAGTACTGTTGCAATGCTGATTCTCCTCCACCAGATGGCGGTCACAGCTCAAACTATACACCGCATCAATCCTCTCACACTTCCCCAAACTTTCACCCTAAATGAAGTCCAGCAGGTTTGTACATCTGACACTTCAAAGCTGGTAGAGAGAAGAGAGAGAGACAGAGAGGACCACTGGGGGTCATTTCGAGGACTAAATATTGATATATGTGCATTTTATGACCGGTGATTTGGTCAGTTAGTGCTCCGTCGAGTCGTGAAGGTGTCGCTAGAAAATATTAAAAGTTTAGATTCTAGTCATCTATATGTAAACCACTTTTCAGTTTACGACCCATACATAATGACAACAAGCACTTGAGGCCCTAGTGATTTCTGAAACTATAAAAAAATGTACAATTATAGTGAAAATATGCTGTTGGTAATTTTTTTGTTGTATTGGATTTCTGGAAACATTTTGAGATCTCAGACTTGGAATTTCATTCCCAAAGGTGAATTTGGATCCTGAGTTTGGGATAAACTGTGGAGATGAACGGTTGCCAACAGCATAGAAATGACATTTTCTGTTTTTGTTGTTGTTGCATATCTCATTTGGTGCTTTTGTTAAATATGAGCCAGAAAATGCATTCAATGTCAAAACATTATTGAGGCTAATCGGATCATGACAAAAACAAAGTGAAAGTTAAAGAAGCAGAAAAAATGAGCTGGAATTTAGTAAACTGCAGACACAACAGACAGATAAACACTTTTAAAATCAATCAAATTCAATGTAAAAACACGGAATTAATGTAGGAAATTAGCTTTTACTTCACCAATATGTTTGCTGTAACTGTCAAGTTTATTCTATAATCCAAGTGAAACATTCCACACACACACACACACACACACACACACACACACACACACACACACACACACACACACACACACACACACACACACACTGCGTTACAAGCTTGCATTTATCAAAGGGTGATTGAAAACACAGTGCTTAGGTTTGGTTTTTGTTTCTATGGTCCAAAGAGTGTCGACCTGTTAGTGAAAATGAACAGAAAATTAAGCTATAGGTGTTTTTTCTCCACTTTAACTAATACATTGCCATATTAACCATAAAAACGTGTCTTTAAGCTCTCCTAAATGTCACTTTTTCCTAAAACAGGGATGTTTCCTTCAGTCAAGGGTGAATAAGCCAGAACAGAACAACTACCAAACATCTGAACAGTGTGGACGCCCACCTCGGCAATCTTTGGAAATGCACTCAATGCATAGTTTTGCAGCAGCTGCAGCATTTAAAGACAAAAATAAAAATCAGGGAGGCAAAAACAGGAGGAATATGCACACAAAAAAACAACACATCTACACATTTCAGTTCAATGTGAATGACACTACAGAGAAGTGCACAGAGTGAGTGTCAGCGCTCCCAAACTCCACCTCCGAGGTCAATCACATCCGTTAAGAACTCCGCTGTCATGAGGTTAAGTGCCAAGTAACAAACAAATGAACAAATAATGGCTCTGCTGAAAAGAAGAGACAAAAAGCGCTTCTCCTGCATCATGTAAATGAGTGTAAAAGTGATGGAGATGGAGGTATTTGTGCATTGCTGCCATTTTAGAGTGAAACTGTTTCAATACTGTGGTACGGATGTAGCTTTCTATACAGGTAGAGGTGTTTGTGGAAAGGGTGATGCCCGCTGCAACAAGCAGAGGGACGTCTGAGTGTGGAGGTGATGAAACAGACATCAGATGAGAGCCGGGAGGATGTTTAAGGAGGCTGGAAAGCTCGGAGGCTGGCGGAATAATAATTATCCTCGTTTGAGTCACTTTTTCAGAGATCTGAGTTCGTTAGGCGCTAGCGTAGCATGAAAGCTAACTGAAATTTGTTGATGATTCGAGTTGATGAGATGTCCTCCCGGTTACACAGTGTTGATACAGTAAGGACGTGGTTGGATCTGTCAGATTTGGGTGGAGACCTGAGGTTTGTGAGAACTTGCAGTCTTCTGAAGCCATCTCTGAGTTCAGCTCCGGCAAGCTCACTCTTCCCAAAAAACAAAACAAAAACAAAAACAGCTAGTGCAAGAGCTGACGTGTTTTAGTCAGACTGAGTTCTGCTGCTCGGGTGAAATGTTATTTTGTACCCCCCTAAAATGGTCCATTTCTGAAATCAGGTACAGGTCTGATCAGCCCAGAGGTTTTAAAGAGTCTACGATTGTCCCGATCACAATGACATCATTGTGGATTTGGTGTCAAAACGTGGAGCCTTTCATGTGGGCCTGAAAAACCCGATCGTCTCAGCTGTCTGCTGAAGTTCAGGGAAAAGAAGGTCAGAGGTCAAGATGAGAACGACGGCTCAGTGTGTGTCGTCCTCATTTCAGTCCCACTGGTTTCGCTGTCATCTGATTTTTATATATATGTTTTTTATATATACGAACTTCTTATTTATATATTTATACATGTTATAAATGAGACCCATCGTGAATTTCTTGTTTTCAAAGTCAAAGAGAGTCAATGAACAGAGGAGATGAGGCGGCGGCGTGGGGCTGGGGGCGTGTTCTCCGTACAGTCTCAATAAAACGCCCGGCTCTCTACCCAGAGGTGATGTTTGTGAGGAGGGGGCGGGGCATGAGGAAGAGGAGAGAGGATGGATTTAGGAGGGTTTACTGCTACTATGTCATCTGATGAGGGGCTTCTAGCATCTCCATGAGGAAGGTGTCGATGGGCGTGTCGCCGATCAGCTTGAAAAAGAATAGGTGTTCCAGACACTTGAGCCCAATGGAGCGCAGCGCCGGTAACCGTAGCAACAGCTTGGCAAACCTGTTCAGAAACAACACAAGCGTCAGTACTGATGATAAAACAAGGAATCAACAGAGAAAAACGATTAATGCTGGTTATTTTGTAACCAACGTGGCTAGGTTTTAGTTATACATTCATGTTTGTGATTTTAATCCCACCTGCCCGGCTGCTCGGGGTACTTGTGTTTACAGTAGGCCTCTAAAGACGCATAGACCTTCTCTCTCAGAGCTTCAACTTCACCTGGGTTGGACAAACCTTTAGAATCTGAAACACAAGCACAAGAACAAACAACTATAACAAACCTGCAAACATATTCTGTTTTAAAATCGGATTTTTTTCATTCAAACAGTGAAAAAAATCAAAAATCTAAATATTATGGCAAAAATGTGAATAACAGCTGAATCTAGAAGTTTTCTCTCAAAGATCTAGCCATCACAAGTGTTTGGGATTCATTGGGAACTCTGTGATTTAGTCTGTGTAAAGGCTGATTTATACTTCTCCATGAGCTCCGCAACGTGAGAGATGTACACGGAGTGTCGGAAAGGTTTTTACATGTGAACTTAAGCGTAGGCAGCAGAGTGTTGCAAAACAATTCCCCGCCAGGAACACAGAGGGCGTAGCGTTTTTCTGTGGTATACTGCCACCGTCACACTCATGTATCCGGTCCACGATAGTGCATTTACTAACGTGTTTATTTATTTCAGAGACTTTATAACACGGACACATTTGTCCTTCATTCTCCTCCACCTCTTCATGTGGTCGCCACCTCTAAACTCATTTTTCCTTTAATTTCCGTCCACGTTTGCTCCATATTTTGTACTCCTACTATCATGGGTGAATGAACATTCATATTTTCAGTTTTACCACAATGCGTTCTTCAATCTGTTCTGGGTCTGCCGCTAAATATCTTTTTACTTTTTAACGGGGCAACGACGGTGCTGGTGATGAATTTACACGAAGCGGCATCCTGACCAATCACAAGCTTGCAGTCTCTGTCACTTTCGACAGATGTTTAAAATGTTGGGGAAGTCTCCGTCGCCCTCTGAGCCCATCGGAGAGCCCTTGCACCGACGCATAATGGCGTTGCGTGTCTCCGCACTGATGCAGAAGTATAAATCAGGCCTAAGTCAGAATGTGTGACGAATGCGAAACAACCGTGGGAGGAGTTGGAGACCAGATCGAAACTAAATTGAAACATAGTTGAGACACTTTGCTGCTAAAGCGGGACAAAAAATTCACATGGATGTTGACATTTGTTTGCAGTTATTTCACAAATCACAAAAGTGAGAATCCAACAAAAAAAAAAAACATTTTTTGTCACAACTTTTGTTTCTCCAAATCGTCTTCAGCAGCCATAGAATAACAAAGCTTGAGGTTTTTACTCATTACAGAAAAATCCTAAAACATTTTCAAACAAATGTTGGCTGAATGGGCATAAATGAGTCAATCTCATTTTATCTTTCCCTGAAACAGGTTTGTGACTTGCAGATTAAGTTTTAACCCTGAACCAACATGTGTCGCCCCATTCTGCGCTAATTTAAGCTCCAATGAAAGACACATCTTTGATTCGCAACACAAACACGTCATTGATGAACACCAATGGTCACCGGAGCGTTTCACCATTGCCTGACAATGAATGAACACTTGTTTTTAATGGCCAGACTGGACTAAATTGTGCAGTGTGGGAAAGGAATTACCGAAGAGCCCTTTTTAGCCTCTTAGCCTCACCCCCCTTCCCCATCCTCCCTCTTCATTTGCAGCCTGAGAGCCATTTGCTCCCTCAGTCAGTCCAGTTTTACAAACGGCTAATTAACAGGAATCAAGCAGCAAAATGAACCAAGGTTAGTTGGGCCTGGGCATGGCCTGAACATCATGTGGGACACCGAGGATCAGTGTTCTAGATCTACGTTGGATACCACAGGGACACGGGGATCGAGTCATTAAAAACCTGGGTCACAGTCAGGAGCAGCTTTAGTAAATGTGGTGATTATTAAAGTAAAAGACAGGACATGATCACATGATGATCTATTTTTCTCCTAATGGACAAACCTTTAATACTTCCACTTCTTTTTCTGACACTCTCTTCGTGCTTCTGCACTCTGGTTATGATCATCAAAACTAACATTGAGGATAAAAGTGATACAATGCTATGAAGGAAGGAGTAATACTTTAAAATTAATAAACAATCATGATAGACTTTCACGATAAGCAATCATGAAATGAACTATCCATCCTTTGTAATGCTGTCATATGCAGCCCCACAAATTTGGACAAAATTATCTCTGGTTTTCAGGAAAGGTTTATTCTCCTTTTTCTTGGCTGGGAATATTTACAAGTGAATATATCAAAATTTCCAAGTAAAACTGTCATAGTTTCTGTTTAAAGTATGCCATTATAACTGTAATGTATTATGGGTATATCTTACCTTTTAACAGTAAGTTGCTGTATTTTTTCTGATTTTTGGTTCATGTAAGTAACCAGCCACAATGCATTATGGGTAGGTCTCTACACTCGTTATTTCAACACATCTGCAGTGGTCTCTGGTTTCAACAATGAATGCCTTGTGAGTTGTTCTCTGTGGAAAAAAGGCTCTTGCGCTCATGTTTCAGGAAGTAGAAGTTAGTTGGAGGAGTGTGTTTGTGAGTGTGTGGGTTGGACAGTAGGATTTGGAGTCTGACTCCTTACTTTAACTTTTATTAAGGGGCCTGCCACCGCAGGCAGGGCCCTTATTGATCCTAACCAGAGGATTCATTATCTTTTATATTATTTTTCGGGAAGCGTGCACCCCACAAACGTTACATCAAAACGACTGTCTCAGCCGTGGATAATATGGTGTATTATAATTTTGGGGGTGCTCACCCCCATGTCACCCCATTATCATGTTTTTGGGGTGCTCATCCCAACATTTTCGAGTTATTATGGCAACGTTATTGCCATGGTTAATATTAGCAAGAAATATATTTAAAAAAAAGCCTCACTGTGCCAGCAGGTCATACATAATATTCAGCGGATATCTTGCCTCTGATTGGCTGACAGCAATGCAACTCTACCATCGCCTCCCTTTGCCATTTTTTCTTGGGTAAAAATGATGTTTTATCTCACAAAAACACAAGCCTGACGGAAGTCTGCGATGTGGCAGCATTGCTAATGCTAATGGTTAGCTTCTGCTAGAAAAGATGTGCCCTGCCCTCCCCTGGAGACTAAATCAACTATTAGATTATAAAAGTAAAGGGTTAGGGTAAAATAAAAATACCTAAAATACACCTAGATTAGCTGAGAAATTAAACAGAACAAAGATTCTATAAACATTTTTATGAAGCAAGGGGGCTGGAGCACTCAGGTAAGTATAAAAAAACAATTTTTAATTAATGCATGCATTAAAAATGATCTAAATTCACACAAAAACATTTAATTGCAAAATAAACAAAAAATTGACAAAGATAAATTTCAAACTACTCTGTCATTTCTCAGAACTGAGATAAAATATTTTTACAGACATTACACAAAGTTTATTGTGTGACAGAATTTAATTTAGTCAACAAATCAAAACTAATCCCCAGCCTCTTTATTAACACACATGGTTTTCAGTATCATAAATAGGAAAAGTCATTTTGGTAACCACAAATCCTGGATTTCAGCCAAAATATTAATAAAAAACATTAAAACCATTTTAACTATTAATCAAACTTTAGACAGTAAGGTATTTATTTAGTTTGAACTGTTATTATCAGATTTAATTCAGTGAAGCTTCTGGGGAAAAAATATATGTATATATATATATATTAGGGCCAGGACTTTAACGCGTTAATTACGATTAATTAATTAGAAAAAAATAACGCGTTAAAAAAAATTTACGCATTTAATCGCAGCTTGCATTTCAAGCACGGCGGAACCTTTGTCATTGCACGATTTCCTCGAAGACTGAATATCACTGATGCACACAACAATGCACAGTGCTAATGGCTACTAAAACGGAATAAAAACAGAAAGAGGTTGCCTTGCTTGGACTGATGCAGGATTTAGGAAACCCGTCCGCCTCTTTTCTTAACTTGGAAAAAACAAACATCCAGACAACAACGGAGTCCGTGTCGCGGACATTTTTCAGAGATCGTCTCTGCTGCGGCTGCCCGGTGGCACCGGAAACTTTACAAAAGTTGTTGTAAGCTATATTTTTAACATTTACGTAACATCTGTGCAGCGCTGAAAGCACCAGACAGAATAATTCTGTGCCCTAACAGTAGTTTATGAAAGTAGTCAGACAAACGAGAGGCACCTGGCTGCCGCTGGGAGAACGCTCCGTGTTCTCACTACTCTGTAAACAATCACAATCAACGTGTCTTAAAGTTGAAAACAGAAGTTTAAGTTAAAACAGAAACACTTTGAAACTTTTCTGATGATTTTCTAAACAATTCTGTCGGGGAATTCTATGTTTCTGAGACGAGTCACTGTCTAAACATCACATGCATTACTATCATTAAGCAGCAGGTGTGTTGAAGCTGTCATCAGCTAAGGGGCGGATGCTTAAGTGTATCAGGGGCAGCGAGGAACGAGGAAGTTGTGATCAGGCTGGAGATCACACCAGATTCGCTGCTGCAGGCGTGAATCTGCGGGTCTGCAGCACCCCCTTCTTAACGTGACAGCAGAACTTCCTTTATAAGGAAGGTCCGCTCACCTGTTCGTCAGATCATTATTTCCTTGCCATGATCTTTTATCATCCCATCAACCTCCAGTCATCCAACTGGAACCAGTTAGTGTTCCTGATCATTCTCAGAATATGCCATGCCTGCTCTGGTGTTAAAAGTTAGTACATTTAAGTCCTAGATCATATTTGTGCCTGTTCCACTGTCATTTTGAAGGATTATTATTTATGTGTTTTTACTACATTATGAGTAGAAATGCTAATAAAAACTCCCAATTATACAAACAAGTGAAACTGGAAAAATTAGAATCTGGTGCAAAGTCAAATTTATTTCAGTCATTCAACTAGACAGAGAGACTATTTAAAGGCTCAGGAACCCTTTGCAGGTGTTTTCTTTTTGTAATTATAAATTTTAGTTGATTTGGGTTTTTCTTTCATATCACACAGTGACATTTGAATAATTAAATTGCATTTTTTTATTAAAAGCTTTAGTTTACAGTAATAACCATGTCTAATGTTTGATTCTCTGTCTCATAATTTTAATTAAAAGTTTTACTTTGAGAGCACATTTTCCTGAACGATTAAAATGCGATTAATTGAGATTAATTAATTACAAAGCCTGTAATTAATTAGATTAAAATTTTTAATCAAGTCCCAGCCCTAATATATATATATATATATATATATATATATATATATATATATATATATATATATAAACACACTTTCATTTAATTTGATCAGTGTTATTGTAATTAGATGGTTCTGAAGAACGGGGTTTCACTCACTGGTTTATTGAAACGTTCCTCTCTGGAACTAACTGGGAATGCTGGTTTTCCTGTCTTCATTTCATTTTCTTCACCTGTCCAATAATTCAACCTGCTGGTCTTTATGAAAGAAACTTTCAGTTCTGCTCTGGGACCACCAAGAGCTGCAGATGAGTACATTTTCTAGAAAGATGCACTTAAATGACAAGGATCTGGATAAGAGTGCATTAATGAGGATTCTTTTTGGTAATCAATGAAGGGCCCTTGGAATTTTATTTAACAACTAACAAATAATTTGTGAAAACATCTTGATAAACCCTTTAAATTGTCCTTTTTTAAACGTTATCTTACTTTCCAAAAGTCAGTCTTTCCTATAAATGTTTAAAACCATCTTTAGGAGAAGTTCTTCAGACTTTCTCAGGTTTTTTTTATTTCAATCCATTCCTTCTACCAGGCTGTTTTTCCTCTGAGAATATTTTCTATGTAAGCCTTTCAACTCCAACCTGTCAATTGTTCAGTCATAACAAACAAAGAAGGTTGAAAATGAACCAGCGTTATGCCAACATAGCAAACAATCCGTTATAAACTAATATCTCTCAAAAATGTTCAGACTACCTGCATGTTGTCCCAAAATAATTGTGTGTACCAGAAAAGAAAGGCCAAGTATAGAGGACTGAGTCATCCTTCAGCTTATTATTGACTGCATGTAAATCGTTAGCTAATGGCTCTTTGGGAATGGTTGTGTTGCTGATAAAATGTGTGATTAAAACATGTCAAACAACTGCATCAGACTCAAGGGCTCAAACCTGCAACCCTACGGTTACAAGGCGGGCATTCTACCCCTTTACCACCATCAAAGAGTAGAAGAGTCCAGTTGCAGTCTGCCCATCACAAGCAAGATGTTCGAATATCACCACTAACTAGTTAGACTTTGAATCCTGTCAATTTCTGCCCCAACTCCTCCTCTACTTCTTGGAGCACAAGAGCTTTTTTTCTTCACAGAAAACAACTCACAAAGCCTTCATTCACACTATAGACCACAGCTGATTTAGTGAAAGCCTGTGTGAATGAGAGCTTTTCCAACACAGGCTCATCCCTTGAGTTATGCCTAGTTAATACTTCTCTGTCTGCAAAGGTGCTGAGACACAAAGTGCCCTTACCTGTCCACACAAGGGCTCTCTGACAGGCACACAAGGACAAATTGAGTAGAGCCAAATTTTTTAACTAGCCACTGAAGGCAAGGAGAGTGCAGGTCTGTGATTGGTCGATCCAACAACAGGGGCAGCTGTTTCTTTTGCTCCCGTTGAATTCTTTGTGACAACAGTTTTTGCTCCTTGAGATCAAACAGTTCCAACTCAATGAAAACTCGCTCTCTGTCAGCCATTGCTCCTTAAGCGGATTAGCACGCAACTTTAAAAGTTTTTCCCCCTCAAACTTTAATAGAATAGGAACACTGACAAATTCCAATATCAACACAAGAACCTAAAATTTCTATTTAAATGCATACCTCCTTCAAGATATTTGCATTTATAGTAATTAACTCATCCACCAGAGATATAGGCAGACCTGCCAGAAAAGGTCCACGCCCCCTGCTGTCCTGGTGGAGAATCACTCTCTGTTGTTCACTGGGTGACCGACACGGTTATTTTCCACGGGTGGGTGTGCAGGGTCGCAGATCGTCTTCGACGTTGCTCTCTCTCCTGCTTCCTTTTGACCAGTTTTCATCAGCTTTTTCTGAAGCAGCATCATTCCTAACGCTTCTTTCACTAAGAATGTTCTTCTAAAAGCTGTTTTGAATGAGTTTGAATGAAGAGTGAGTGCATGCGAGCTGGAAAGTTGGTTGCTTTATAGCTGTCCATCATCTGTGGGAAAACTTTACAATGTAAACTATAGAACCGACAGGCTGACGACTTGTGGGAGACAACGACAAAAACAACCATATTTCTGTTTTGATACATCATTTTATGGAAATTATAACGCAAATAGGAAAAGTCAGAAAGCCAGGACAATGTGAGATCCATCTAACTAAAGTTATTACATATTTAAATATGAAAACGGTCAAAATGACTCCCTTGGGAGTTTTAGTGTTGAAATACAGTTAGAATCATGCTAGTTTGGACCAGTTTATTCATGATGCAAACCTTTTTAAACCCAGTACATCCCAGTATGAATAAATGTGAAGGCTCTATTCTTCCTTCTGAAACAAGTTGAAGTGGTGACTCTTTGAAATACGCAGTTAAAACAGTTTTAGCAAAAACCCCGCTGCAGGGTGGAGTTTACATACACAGATCATTACCTGGGTTGAAAAGGACGATGGCTCGAAGGCACCCTAGTTCCGTCTTATCCATCTGCATGTCTCTCATCTTTGACACCAGTTCTGTAAGCACTCTGAGCAAAACAAAAAACAGGCAAAAAGTCAAATCTGTGGCTCGTTCAAGACTAAAACATCGTTTGGTTCTTGGCTTCTGTATTATGTCAGACAACGAAGAGTTCAGATCAAAGAAAACCACTTGAATCTAATTGGTATACTTTTTCTTTTTTTCTAAGTGAATCATTGCTTTACATTTTAAAAGTATGTTTTCGACCACATATCCAGCGTGCATGTTTTTAAAAATAAACACCCACGACCACACTGTGAACCCACATTATGCCGAGTTTAGATCAGTGGAAACGTTTACAACCCTGCCAAGTAATTATATTTAGTGTGTGGTTTTTATAAAAGGAAAGCCACAGAGTAAACACACGTTGTAATCCAACACCAGCGAGCTCGCCGTCTGTGTGTGACATCACATGTGGGTGTGGCTCACGCGCGGGGTCACTCAAACTTCTCACCCCTATCTTGACAACATCACGCCCTCTCTCTCTCTCCACAAAGTTTGTTTTCCTCTCTTTCTCATGTTCTTTCTGATTGTTCAGTTAATTGAAGCTCGTTTTAACTTAATTTACTCCGAAGAGGAGAAGCAGAACCAAAAAACAAAAATGACGTGGAACTGTGCCACCAAATCAGTCTGGATTAATGCAGACATGGAGCACGCCGCTGATCAGACTAGACGAGGCACAGCAGGTCTCTGCAGGACCACAAACACGACGCGCTCAATATTTATTTCCATTACAAATTATGCACTAAAGAACCTCTGATGAATTGTATGATTGAATCGGTAAAATCTAAACCTGATGGATGCAGAGGCAGAAGTAATAAGGGAGACAGGAAGACCTGGCTTGTTGATTCTGATAAAATTTAATAAAAAGAAACATTGTGCAGATGATCCTCGGGATGAAATGACTGTAAGCAGAAGGTTTGCTCTAAGACAGCAGGAGCTTATCAGAATAACACAGGCATCGTCAGAGCTGAAGGAAAATAATATGATCTGATTCTTTATTACTTATTTTTAAAAATGCTAGTCCTGATGTTTCTGAGTCTTATTTAAAGGTTGTTGTCTCCACAGGTGGAGCTGAAAACATAGCATGCTCCTTTTATGTATTTTTTAGTACTTGGGTGAAGCATTATGCAATCTAATTTCCACATTGGTTAAGGAAGTTTGAGCTGCCATTTTTGTTAGTTACCAACTTTCTTTTTGCTTGTTTTATTGTTTTAGGTTAGTTTCCTAGAGCAAAAAATGTTATTTTAGCTTATGTTTAGATGCAATTGTGTATTAACAATGTTACAAATAAATAAGTATTTTCTCTGCACCTCTTAGCCCAGACTAGAGATAAAACATGATTGAAGACCCTTCCAGGATTTTACTTTTTGCACCTCACTCCTCAACATTAAATGGAGTTTTATTTTGCTCTACATGTCACAGTGGAGTTAACCAGCTTGTTTTTTTTAATGCAGCAGTAATAGATCATTAAAATGTCAACTTGTTGAATGTCATGGCACCAGGAAGATGGGAGGCTGGATTTTTTTTAATGAAAGAGGACATTGTGATTTATTTTAATTTTTTGTTAAAAGTGCAGTGTGTAAGAATAAAGTAAGAATTCTACAGTGAAATAATCCCAAAACAGCATAATGTCTCAATCATGTTGGAAGGAAGGCTATAATTCATACTCAGCTTTCTCTGGGGGTTGTCAGTTTTTCTCCTTTCAAATTAAAGGAAGGATGGATGTACTGTTTAGCATCAGTGAGTGCAGGGTTGCCATGTCTTCTGCAAGCAAACGTGCCGGCATTTTTAATTCAATTAAGTTTATTTATATAGCGTCAAATCACGACAAGAGTCGTCTCAAGACACTTCACAAAGTAAACATTCCAATAGAGTTCAGTTTATCAAGCCGATCATTAAAAAGTTTCCTATTTAAGGAACCCAGCAGACTGTATCGAGTCATCGAGTCTTTTGTTGTGGTGGTGCTAGAATTTCAGCCATGGTGCAGCGCCACGCCTGAGCTGTAGGGTAGGCACTGTATTTCGCCAATTATATATAAAACGGAAAAAAAGTTGACTATGGTGCAAAATTTCATTCATTTCATTATGTCTATTTAAAAGGTGAAACTAATATATGAATATGCAAAACCAGATAGTTCAAGGCTTTATTTGTTATAATTGTGACGATTATAGTTTAACGCTGATGAAACCCCCCAATTCAAAACCTTACACAATTAGAATATTGAGAAAAGGTCTAATATTCTAGACTCATAGGCTCACTTGCAAATGAATCCAAAACATCTGCAAGGAGTTCCTGAGCCTTTAGATGGTCTCTCAGTCTAAGTTGAATTACTGATATAAATAAGACTTTTGCACCTTATTCTCAGTTTTTTAAATTTCTCCTGTGTGTATGTAGTTTATAATTTTTTTGTGAAAATTTGGACACATTAGAAATAAATGTCTGGTGCGCATATTAAGCAAAATTGTTGTTTTAAAAGCTGACAGCTGAGGTGTACTTCATCCTGAAAACTTCATTTAAACTTTAAATAATATGTTAAGCTATTACTGTATGATGCAGTTTTTGATACTTTCAGGTTTTTCCCTTAAAGTCATTTAAACTTTTGCTTTTCGAGATTCTTTTTAGGACGGTCTATGAAAATTCAGCTACTGTTGAGAGCTCAGCTTCAGCTCAGGTCTTCAGCAGCATTCAAACAGCATTTCTACTAAAAAAAAAACGCAATACATCCAGTAAAAGTTGGTCTGTAAGAGGTCTTGTTAGGGTTGACATCGTAGAAATACCTAACACCTTTGTAACTTTTCAAATAGTTTGCATTCTCTCTGCTCAAGCTGTAATGCCGCAGAAGCCAAACACACACGCACTCACGCACGCACGCACACACGCACACACACACACACACACGCACACACACACACACACACACACACACACACAGTCCCATGTGATATTTCTTTCAGTCTGTCAATTCGCTGCCCTGAAATGTCAATAACAGCCACCAGGGTGGTTCCAGCGCGCTCCTGACGTCAGTGCGACTGAACTTTGCGTGGCTTTTTTTTTTTTTGACATTTTCTGAGCAGCTCAGGGTTTCTCTGAGACCCCCAGTGCACCCAGGTGTACATATTTCATATAGTGGAGTCAATCAATAATTCCTGTGCTTGTTTTGCCCTCTGCAAGGTGTTCCTGTGATTTCCAGTCAGTGAAAGAGTTGCGCCAAAAGAATACTAAATGCCACACGCAGGTTTAAAAACATGTAACTTAATCTACTCTGATTTTATTTTCTTGGAAAATACTAATAAAATGTTTTTTTTCTTTAAATGTTTCATATGAATTAGACGGAAATTTCTCTGTATTAATACCTTTAAAACACCAGCAATAACAGTGAGTAATGTGATTTTTAAATGACGTTGAGCACACCAAGTTGAAAAAAATAAGTTTAGTGCTGTGACAATAATGACCTGTCAAAGATGGCTCCCACCCCTGCACTATGGGCGCTGTTGCGGTGGACGTGCAGCCCCGTCGCCAGCAGAATCCCGTCCTTTACTGCAATCGAGCGATGTGAAAATGATGCAATGAGGAGTTCATTCCAACCTGAGACAGATACGGATCAAGGTAAAGTATGGTTAGAAAAAAAGAAGAGAAGGAAAACCCAGGACAAAAGTTCACACAACGTTCAGGCGATATTAAAACCAGACAGAATCCCAATGAATCAATTACGCTGCGCCACAAAACCCCGCAGCTTTCTCAGGCATCAGGTTATCTCGGAGACATTTGAATCACGCTTTCTGAAGAGACAAGCGTGTAAAAGAGATGAAGCGCGCCTGCCATCACGATAAACACAACAAGCTTGATGTGTCAAAGCAGGGGGTCTGGCACAAGGAACAGTGGAGACGCAGGATGCTGCTGCGTGAGTGACAGGGCTCCTTTAACTGCTCTGCCTGGCAACACTCGCCCCGTCTCCCTACAGTTGAGTTGGCCATGAGTGGAGCTGTGATGCTTTTATCTGTGATAAAGCAGAACTAAAGCGGTTATTTATAGAAAGCCTGAGAGACGAGCTCTGCAGAATAATGTATCCCTCGCTACTTCGCTGAAGCATCTCCATCATTGTATGTGCCATGGATAAGCAGGAATGATGGGAGGATTTTATTTTCTCTGCTAGTGATTGGTGTGAGGTGCCTTATTTCATCTTCCTAGAAGTGAACAGAAAATACAATAAGAGTAATTTGGAGTGACAGGCAGGAAACAAGGGGCAGTGTGTTAGGAGAACCAAAAAGATCTTTCGGCGTATGACTTTGGCGACGTGACGAATGATTCACTCGGTTCCAGGATGCTGGCACTCTTATCCTTGGCTTGCTTTTCCATGTACAGGAGATGCTGGAGGAGGCTGTTCCAGGTCATAATAATTCTCGGTTCAAAAAAAGGCAACAGGAATATACAGTTTGAAATATCAAACTTTTTCATCTTATCTCTCCACAGTTTAAAAGCTCGGTACTTTTGCATTTTAAATGAGAATGTGTCTTAAAATAATTAGGATGTCCAGCCACCTTATTTTGCAGCTACTCTAATCATACTGTGGATAGATGTGGTGACGGTTTCTTGGACACACCACAACTATTCTGTTCACCTATAGCTACAGACAGGAATTCATCACCAAGCATTTCTACTTTTGTGTTTAACGTTGCCAACCGATCTTCAAACAACTGAGTCGTGCACATTTAAACATCATAATTTAAACACAAAGAGGCCTAAAGCTGCAATAGCAAATCTGCTAAACAGACTAGCTTAACACTTTTGTTCATGCCTCCAAAAAACGTTCCACCTAGTATAGACCCATTGCAGTGTCTATACCCCCATCCCCAGGCTGGAGAACAAGAAGCACCTCCCCATTTACACCACAGTTGTGTTTATCAGCTGGTTGTCTAGCAGCATGTTTAACACATATAGAGCTGTAGGCTGCACAAGCAGACAAAAGGACACTTAAGTTAAATTTTACAGGTTTCCAGATGATAAAATGTGTTGAAGGCAGTGGTTAACGGCCAGTTGTAGTGGATAAACCACCCACATCGTGGCAAAGTCTAGTGACATAATAAAAAAGTATAGTATCTGCCCCACATGCCCAGAAACAAACAAGTTCTAACCATCTAATGACTTATCTGCTTTTTTACATAATTATGCTCAACTGCAGGGACGAAAAGCCAGCCGGGGAGAACCGACCAACCGAGTGAACCCAGCAGAAGGGAGGAGCTGTCCTGCTGATCAGTCAGCGAGTGTGAAAGTGTAGCTACCAGGATGTAAACAATAACATATGGGATTCAATAGCTATAGCTATAAATATTATGTGGAGTAAAGAAAATAAGTAAAGGGGTTCTTTTGCGTTTGTCTAAAAACCTCCTCTAATAACATGGCTTGGTCTGAAAGCAACTATTGGACCATCTAGCCCAGGGGTCGGCAACCCGCGGCTCTGGAGCCGCACGCGGCTCTTTCATCCATCTGATGCGGCTCTCTGCTTGTAAACTAATTAATGAATGTTTAATTACAATGTGTTTTATTTTACTGCATTCATTTTTATCTGTAGCCAATTCTAAATTTAAAGATTGCCTGCGTAAACCTGAACAGGTCACCTGCTTGTGGGTAATCAAATGTCTCTATAATGAAATGTCGCTTTCTGAGCTGAAGAGGATGTGAGATTCTGGACTGTTCCTCAGACAGGCTCATGGATGCGTCGCAGGGTTGCAGACAGAAATCAGCCAAAGATTCATAATCAGGGGACATTTTTTAACTGACAAGTCTCTGAGAGTCCGGGTTTAGAACACACAGAATCTTCCTGCATGGCTCTGGTTCTGCGATGCGCTCCAAGCCCCCGATCTACACATCTTCAGCTCGCTGTCCACCTTACGGATGCGCTGGCAGCGAGCTGCGCTGAGCTCAGTGTCCAGCTCAGATGTTCTGATGGGAATCTTTTCCTGATTGATGTAGCTACCTCCACGATGTGCGTAACGATTAAAATGTCAGCGCATCTGCAGGCTTGAGGTTTCTCCGTCAAAATAAACAATCAAATACGGGAAATATCCGGTCAGTGTGAACCCTGTCATTTAACTGTTTTGCCTTCTTGTGAAAATTGTTGCAAACAGAAACGTTAAACCTGATTAACACCAGAGCCACCACACTGCGCCGTTATCTCAGTCAGTGTAAATGAGGAAAAAACTAACTGATTGGATGCTTTTTTTTACCTTTTCAACAATGTTTAATGCAAAGTTTAGTTCAGTACAATGTTTAATTACAACAGTCCAATGAGACAGAGCCTGGATTTGTATTCTGAACAGTTATGTGTGACGCCTCAAAAAGTTTCACCTGCTCAAATATTAAAACCATTAGCAGGGTGAAAAATATTGAATCATTGTAGACACAGACGGGCTACAACTTTTGGATCAATTTTAAACAAACTGTTTTATTAATGATCTTCTGTTGAAAGATAACTTTGACGTACAGGAGCGACTGGTATTGGTTGCTGTCACCTGTTGTGATCGGTTAAAGCAGCTCCCTGCTGTCTTAGGTTAGGCTCCACCCACAACGCCTCGACTGCTGTGGCTCCCAGTGTATTCTTTACTGTGGGAAATGGGTAATAATGGCTCTTTGATGGGAAAAGGTTGCCAACCCCTGATCTAGCCGAACTGCCACACTTCTGCACTCAGGGTCCTCCACTCATTACGCACTCACGCATTTAGCAACAGAACACCACTGGTGTAAGAGGTTCTCTGCTCAATCACATCAGGGAAGCAGACGATAGGGACAATAGAGCTCCGGACCCCACGCGACTCTCAGTTAGTGGACGCCATTTTGGCAGGAAAAAAAGGTAAACAAACACGGACGTAACCATGAACGTGAACGGGATCCGCTTGGATTTCACTTCGTCAGAGTTTACTTCACACTTTAAAACCGAAGAAATCGTTTTATATAGTCAGAAATTAAATAGACTAAACATCTCCGACCCTTACCGTGCCCCTGGGATACTTTTTAAAAACGCCAGAAGCTGTCGGAGCGGACTTCTTACTGGACCTGGCCGGGGAACCCCTTGGGATTTACCCGGAGGAGCTGGCTCCGGCGGCTGGGGAGAGGGAAGTCTGGGCCTCTCGACGCTACATGCCCCCGCAACCCGACTCCGGATAAGCGGATGAAAATGGATGGATGGACAAATAACAGATTTACACATAAGTAGTTTAAATAGAGTGATGTGCTGTTTGAATGTATAAACTGAACGCCAAGAGAAATCACTAGTCTGATTTTTTTTTCCGTGAATAAAATAAATATGTCAGGCAGGATCTGTCTGAGATCTGTCTCGGTGAGACAGATAATAGCAATCCAAAGTGCTTTTTATGTGTGATCTGACAATTGATCAACCATTGCTTAAAAATTAAATACAGCTTAGCCGGTTAATTGCTGTGATCATAAAACACGTAAACGGCAGCACGCAGAACTCACGAGGCAACGTTTTACGTGATGTTTACTTGTTGCTATGAGTAATAAGACAGAAAAGCCACGCCTAAATAAGTTTAGGAAGCCCACTAAGAATCGTAATAAAAGCATTTAAAATAAATACCATACACAGTTGAGGAAACGTTAGTTTAAGTACCTGATATGAAGCGGTCGCTGCATAAGTGAAAACCTTTACTCTCGGTGTCCCACAGCTTCATTTTAGCCCGGTCACTAAGCGCGTTTTATTACAATGATCCAACGTTTACAGCGTTCCGGATCTTGGGGAATCCTGTATAAGGCTCTTCCCTTATCTTGTCCGCATCTGTTCTGCATCCTGGGACACAACAGAAATCTACCATATTTCCCGTTTGATTGAGTTTTCTGACAATAACAAATAGCCCAGCTGCCGGCTTCTGCCTGCCAATATGGCGCCGTTTCGATTTGAACTGTTGCATGCCGGGAAACGTGACGTCAACTCCCGGAGCTCTATAGCCAAGGTGAGAATTCTGTGATCGTGTTTGTGTTTGAAAGCTAGCTGGTTTTGCTGATTTGCCATTGCAGCTTTAATTATGTCTCAGTTTGGTTGTCAACCAGAGCTGTCTCACATTTCTGCCCCTCAGAAGCTGAGTAGATTAATTCAAGATGAGAAAATCTGTCAGTAACTTGCAAGAAAACTGAGAACCAATATGTTTTGAAATGTTTGCAGTTTGTTGCCAGCTGTCATAATTCACAATTCTCAACGTTACTTGGAAAAATACGGTGAGCTGTGGTTGTACCTACTAAAAGTTTCTTTGTTTAAATCTAATGAATTTAATGGCCTACAGCTCAAACGAAGGTCATGTTTTTGTCTTTATTAAAAATAAAAAAGTGATACTGTTTTTTTAATGCTACATAATCTGGGATTCATTTTATTCTTATTTATTTTATTAAACCACAACGTCATTATGAATGAATGAATAAGAAACCTATAAAGACAGCAGAATGAATTGATCAAAAGCATAGACGTATTTTTAAAGGAACTGGTGGATGCTGACAGACCTGCCCGTAGCAGGATGACCTGGTCGTCCAGCGGCAGCTCGGAGAAGTGTGGGATCCTCTTGGCCCACTCCACCAGGGTAAAGAGCTGTTTGTCAGCAGCTTGACAGATATTTGTCACTGGGTCGTTGGGCTGCAGGGAAACAGGTTAAAATGAATATTGGAGTCATATTTTTGTTTTATTAAGTGTGTGTGTGTATGTGTGTTTTGGGCCAGAGCCAGACCTCTGCACACTTATGAGCCACCAATAGCTGTGCCCACACACACACACACACACACACACACACACACACACACACACACACACACACACACACACACACACACAGACACTAATGTTTGTGCTGCTGTGCTGGGAGTGATATCCTGTAAAAAGGAAAAGGCAAGTAAGAAGACAAAACAAACACTGATCCTGTCTGCGCCTGTGGAGGAAATACCTGCAGAGAGCTGCTGGTGAAAAAACAACTTTTGCTCAGAGGACTTTTTCTTTGGGGATCTTTTAGCAGAAACACTCTTGGACAGCTACGGGAGCTCATGAGGCCCTTGAAACACTCTCCAGACTACCACTACAAAAGTGCTGAAGAGCCTGAAGGGGAACTTTATTACCAATCCAGGAAAGAGGTTGTAAAACAAGCAACAAATAATCTGAACATAACTTAGATTTACTCTTAGTTATATTTAGAATAAAGATTGTGTGATTGGTTTTGGAAGCCAAGTGACTCAAACAAACTTCTAAAAACATCCATGATCCAGTACCTAACTCAGTTTTTTCTATATTATTTCAGATTTTTCAGTAAGATTTTTAACAATTAATATTTTTGCATCATTTGAGATTCATGAAGGAGGAAAATAATCTGTTCAGGTCTTCAGATTATTGCTTATAAATGAAAAGTTTCTTAAATGCTGATGAAGCGGTAGACAGCTATGATGATTTAGTGATTGGGTGTTATGAGACTGACCCTAGTCCACAGCATTTTAAGCCTAATTTACGTTATTTCACCATAACTTTGCTCAGTAATGAAATCACAATTATTTCACATGAATCCTTCACATTTTAAGGAGACTGCAAATATCAGCAGGTGGCAGAGCTGTGTAATCTAGAGGAGACCAAAACTTATTAAAGTATAATTTATGAAGACAGTTATTTCCCTCATGCTGTAACTTATACAGACTAACTTAAAATGCACATTTATAGGTCTATAAGAATAAAAATATACATTTTTACATTCAGTCATTAAAAAAAGAATATATATATATATATATATATATATATATATATATATATATAAGAGAATGTTTACAAAGTGAACACGATTGTAGTTTATCATAGATTGCAATGCTTTTGTGGTTATTTTCATGCAAATCAGAATCACATGGCCCTATCATTTTTTGGACCTTTTATCACTTTACATAAAGAACACATGTGAATTTAGAGAACACGTTACAATAAGAGTTCCTTTATTAATGTTACTTAGTGCATTATTAAGGATTAGTAAACAAATACCCTAACCCAAGGAAAAAATTAAAAGAAATTTATATTAAAAACTTGTTTAATTTTTCAAAGCATTTGTATTTATATGATCACTAAATTAAGACAAGATATATTAAAACTTTTAAATAATAATGTAATGATTTATTCTTCAAAATCTCACTATTTACATCCGTAATATCATCTGTGTTGGAAAACAACCCCTGAATGCTGGGCGTTGTAGTCAGATTAGGACTCCACATTTCGTACTGGCATATCAACTGCCTTTCAACTTGGTGTTTAGAAAACTTTGCACCCTACAGTCACAAAAACCTTTTTTCTTTTTGAAGAAGCAGGCAAGAAGAGAATTTGGTTAATTCAAACACAAGAAGTCCTTCTCCTGAACTGTCCTTGTGCGTTAGATTCAGAAGGATCCTGCTTTGATCCAAAGGGAATAACCGTGGAATACTAATGTGATTTGTGCATACAGTATGACTACCTGATTGAGACTTAACTCCATCAGGACAGTAAAACAAAAAACCAAATAAACCCTAAACAATCCTGTCAGTCTTTGACAAGTCGTTTTACTGTCCTCCCGGGTGTGCTTTCCCCTCATATGCATATGTCTAAACAAGCACACGCTTTTCTGCATAACATTAAATCAAGTAAACATTCTTAAACTACAAGAGAGTGAACTCTTGACAAAAGAAAAAGTGTCCATAACTTCTCCCCGACTTCCTAAATCAAATCCCACAGATCGATGCTAAAAGCTCAGAAGATCCTGGCATCAGCAGCAGCTCTCTGGAGAAGATTAGCTGAAGATGAAGGAGAAAAAAAAACAGGTTCTTCATTCATCAAATGCAGGCTCCTCTACATTCTTCTCTATGGTGTGAAAGTCACAATGACTGCAGAGGATTGCAGATGTGTGTGTGTGTGTGTGTGTGTGTGTGTGTGTGTGTGTGTGTGTGTGTGTGTGTGTGTGTGTGTGTGTGTGTGTGTGTGTGTATATGTATATAAAATTAACACCAGACACATAGATGTCACTGTTTTGGAAACTGAAAGTCGTCCTTTATTTTTTTTTTTCTCCCCCAACAGGGACAGAAAGACAACAAGCATCTTATGAATATTTCAGCACTTGATCTCCGTGGGAAACAGTGGACGGCGCGGCTCAGGGCGACAGTTTTCGTGAGCGGCGTTTCCTGTCAGAAACACAAACAGATTGAGCTAATTCGTTCCAAAGGGCAGGCCAGGCTCAAATAAAAAGCAACAAAAGGGGGCTACCAACGTGCACCGCCACCAGAAAAAAGACTCCCCGGATTCTCGTTAAACACGACGAGTCTCATGAATGTTGGATGGCTATCTTAGCCGTGTTTACACTGACCTCGTTTCTTTTGCTTCTGTCGGCTGAGATGACAGTGGGGAAAGGAGCTTATGCTTTCCTTAAGACAATCCATGAGCATCGCATTACTGTACTTACTGCTCAGGTCACAGAGCAGCGATCGGGATGTTATCAGGCTACAACGCCGGACTATTCTGTCAGCTGAGGCATTAAAAGGAATCCAGAAAATTCTGCCAGCTAAAATAAAAGTGAAGACTCTTATGGGAAAGAAAGTAAGCCAACAAACCAAAAGTGAAGAAGTTTTGAATTTTCATTTTATATCTCTGTCCCAAACTGAACCGTCTTCAATTTCAGACTCATCAAAGGATGCCTATAGCTCAAGCGTGCTTCATCGCCATCATTCCAGCTACTTACAGAAACGCAAGCTTGCATACTGTCCTATGAAATTTTCATCACTTGTGGAGGAGGGTGGAGAAAGACTTGCCTCTCAATTTTTCATTATTCTGTTGGAACTGGACTATACGAGTGTGACAACAGGGAGAAAATTGGGCACCCATACAAATCAGCAGGAAAATAAATGACTCAAGTGGCCCACTTTTCTTTGTGGAAGAGGAAATACACCATCCTCAAATGCTAATCTGCTAATGACTGCTCAAACAACTTTAATGCTTTGTGTGCCGAGTTAAAAATAAACATTAACCTTCTAATAAGAGCAGAAACCAAAGAAATCCTCTCCTTTTCCCTCCTTCCTGAGGAGACCTCTTCTCTGTGACTAAAGGCATATTACTAACGCCTGTTTAACTCCTGTTCTAGGTCACCATGAGATAAACACACTTTTATTCAGCTCGGACAGACCTCGGCCATTAGACAGCGGCAGTGGCCTATTCACGGTGTACGCTCACGACCTGGGCCTTGTGATTAATTGTTGCACGGGGCAGCGCCTCTCAATGGACACCAGCAGGGGGGGGGGGGGGGGGGGGGGGTGTCATATGGGGATGGCATTCAGGAAGAAGGGAAGTACTCTGGTAAGATCGGCATGAATGCTGCCAGAATCACAAGCACTTTCAGAGAACGGGTCAGCTTCCTCAAATTAGAGAAGAAGAAATCAAGTCATTGATCCCATGATAGCAACAGATATGACAGCAATCCTCTTTTTTAACCAGAATCCGAATCAGAAGGGTTTTATTGTCTTATGTGCGAATCACAACATTATAAAATTGCTTTGGTACTTGGTGCAAAAAAGAAAGATAAAAATAGGAGATAAGCAAATATCTGAAGTAATAATATAATCATGATAAAATAATAATATAAAGTGGTAATAATTAGAGAAACAGCAACTATACAAGACAGTGTAGGTACAACTGCACTTCTCCTAATGCTGGAATCATATTACCAGAGTAAGTGATCTCTACTGTAAAACACATGAGTGCTAACACCAGATATGACACTATATTTACCTACTTCCAAACACACCCACATCACCCCGCTTCTCCTCCAGCTTCATTGGCTGCCAGTCAACTTCTGGGTTCATTTCAAGATCCTGGTTCTGGTCTATAGGGCCTTACATGGACAAGCACCATCTTACATTGGTGGTCTTCTTAGTCCCTACATCCCCAGCAGGTCCCTGAGGTCCAGTGACCAAAGCCTGCTGGTTGTGCAGCGCACCAGTCAGAAGACCAAAGGTGACAGATCATTTGCTGCTGTGGCCCCCAGACTCTGGAACTCTCTCACCCTGAGCCTGAGATCAGTGGACTCAGTGGTCTCCTTTAAAAAGCAGCTGAAGACTCACTTGTTCAAGCTGGCTTTTGTATGACCTTCTTCACCTCTCTCTCTTTATTCTGCTCCCCCCACCTATTCCACCTTCCTCAGGATCCACTGATTTCCCTCTTTCCTATTCACTCTCTCTCTTTCTTAACATTTTTTCTTTAAAATCACAATTGATTATTTTTGCTCATTTTAAATATATTTTTAAACATTTTCTAAATGCTTTTTTATATTTTTACATTTTCAATTTTTTGTTTTTGTGAAGCGCCTCGTGATTTTTATCTTGAGAGGCGCTATAGAAATGATATTTTCTTCTTCTTCTACTTATCAAATTACCAAGTATGACTCATCTTCGTTTGTCATCAAGAATGTTCTGGCGCTGATCCGTAACTGGCAACAGCCATGAAACAGCAACTTTTTTTTTTAGAAAAATGGTTTGCAGTCCCCAAATTTGACGACAGTCTTACATATTGCACCTTTAATTCTACTAAGCTATGTTGAATTGGAAGTTGGGCTGTGACTGCTGGTGACTTCCAGCAACTCAACTGAGGAAAGACCCCTCCCGAATCTATTTTTAGATATTTTGGAAACTTTCCCGCAAATTGAGGTTTGTTAACAACCCTGTAAAATGCTGCCTCAAAACTTTCAGAGGACAAAACCTAAAATATACATAAATCTAAATGGATAAAATCTTCTACAAACTGATATAAAAAAGCTACAGTATGAGACATGAAAGTTAAAGTGGAAGTTTATGTTCTTTGAAGGTTACAGGAATCATGCTGTGCTTTTCTTTTCAGCATCAGATAATCCCAGAAGATTCCCATTCCCAGCCTTGACCAGTTTGTCAACGTTATTTTTTTTTACCTTTTGGTGTCAAGTCCCAAACACCAAGGGACCAACCCGATGAGCCCCAAAACACTCCACACATTAGCGTTTTGTAGCTGCCAGCCACTCCCTTCACGCTCTCACACTCATCTCTTTTCCCCAATGTCAACACTCAGTTCCTACATCTCCATCTTCCATCCAAAATAGCTCACATTTACTCTCATAACTGCCCTTACATTTCTACCTTTACTTCACAAGACATTTCCCTCCCTGCTGAAGCAGATAAATCCCAGAAGCTCCCTCCCTCACTCCCTTGTTCAGCCCTTTGGTAGTCTGCTGCACTGCTCCTCTGCTTCGCGTGTTGCAACAGAATTCCAGAAAAAAAGCTGCGGCTTTGTGGAATGCTTTCAGGAACAGTCTGTCTGTTGCATTATTCATCACTCTTTAGTCTCCTCTGTGTCAAAGACACCCCAGCTGATGCTCGCAGCAAAGACAGAAACTCACTGCTGAGTTAGGGAGGTGAACAGCTGAACTGATGTCTCAGAGCAAAGCGAAGAGAAAATCACAAATAAGAGAAGACGTGTTGGACTTATAACTGATTACCAGCCTCACCCAGCAGACAGAAGGGTGCTTGATTCAAACTTGGTATAAAAAACAAACTTTTTTACCCAAGTACAAGAAAATTCCACATGTGTAGCATAGAAATCAAGTAGTCAAATCAAACATCCAATCTACGTTTAATATTTATGAATATAATTGAATAAAAGTGTAGATGACAACTGCCTGGAAATGGAATAAAAATAAAATATGCATAACAAAACAGTGAAAAAGCCCTATGGGAAAAGCATTTATAGTATTTTCTGAAGAAACAGATATTTTCTTCAATCTAACTACACATCACTAGCTTTAACTTAAATTAAAGGTGCAACAAATACTTTGTTTTGTTGCACTTCAAGATTTTTTATTGTGGCCATAAAAGTTGTTTTTACACCAAAGCAAAGTTGCAATATTTTACTAAAACCTAAAATGTGTTTTATTGATAAGATAATGTGTGTCTCTTATCAAATACGGGTATTTAAGTGTAATACATAAGCAGAAGTATTAAGACTGACCCTTTTATATGCTGTTGGTGTAAACAGAACAAATATGGTCTATTCCTGTCCTGAATAAATCTAAACAAAACACATTGCACTGTAAAAAGAATAACCTCACTTAAATAAAAAAATTCACATCCAATTTTGTCACGCTGAGAGGATTGTTTGGACCCAAAATGCAGTAACCCAGGATGACACGAGGCAGGAGTTGATATAAAGTAAAATCCTTTTATTGTAGGATGAAACAAAAATAAATCCAAAAGGCAGGGAGCCAAAATCCAAAAATCCAGAAAAATGAGAACAAGCTTACTTAGAGCACAACCTGGGGACGGGACAGGAAGCTCACACAGAGCACCAAAACAATGCTGACAAAACAACAATGTACCGACAAGACACAGAGACAAGACAGGGCTTAAATACACTGGGGCATAATGGGAGGCAGATGAGCTGCAGGTGTGTGGAGTGAGGGGGGAGGACCAGGTGAAAGCAATGACTAATCAGGGAAGAAACTAACATGACCTATGAGTAAACCTAAAAACAGAAACCATATAACTAAAATTCTAAAGGGAAGGAACTACAAAGACCGGTGGGAAAAAAACACACTAAAGAGACTAACAGAATGAACAGCTGAAACTATAAACACTGTAGAGGGGTGACTGGGGAAGACTAAAGGAACACAGGACCTGAGAGAGATATCTAGAGAGCTGCAAAAAATGGAGACACATGAGGGAGACGCAGACATGACACATGAGGGCGCTAGAAGACACAAAAGGAGAATCTAAAGAGGGATGGAGAACCTCAGGAGACACACGGGGAAAGAAGCAGACACAGACCATGACAAATTTTCATATCTAAAATATTTGACTTCACGGAAACTAAATTTATTCACTTACTAAGACCTGATTTTTGATATTGATGTAAACCACAGACTTTACTTACTTTACTAGACCAAACTTTAATTCTCTGACTTGATCCAAATCTTCACATACTGTATTTAGTATATGAACCAAGCTAATATTTTGAAATGGAACCAACCTAATGCATTTACATTCAACCAATTTAACATGACTTAATACAATGGTTCCTATAGGCTTCATCAAGTTAAATTCAAGACTTTTCAAGACCTTTTCAAGACCACTTATATAAAACATTAATAATTTCACAGCCCTTCTGGCCAAAATTAAATAAATAAATGCATTATTTAACTTGTGTTGATTTATTTATCTTTCTGTTTTATTATATTTGGCCAAAACACTTGGTAGAGAACAGGAGCAAAGCAGTTTGAGCTAGGTAACATAAAACACATGTTTAAAATATAACAGTGTCAGTAGGGCTGGGTACCTGTAGAAATTTCTTGATACTACAACTTTACCGATGCTTGGTTTTTGATGACGTTACCTTAATGATACTTTTGTTGAAATCTATAGAGGATAACAAACTACTTAAAGGCTTTGTTCTTATTGTATAGATTTTTATTATACTTTATTTCAATATATTTTCTAAGCAAAAACAGAGCAAAGATACAGTGAAAACAATAAAGGCCCAAAATTGAAATATATGTTTAAAAATAGCCTTCATTAGTGCTTGACTTCATGTCAGTAATCGCAGTAATAAAACTCCTGCTGAACTGCCTTTATAATGCTGATAAACATCAGCTAAGTAGGTTTTATGTCCTATTTCTGCTTTTATCAGCCTCCATCCTCAGACTCCTCCAGTGTTTTGGAAGGTGATGGACTCTGGTTTATTTTTTTGCAGTCAAAGACTTTCCATGTTTCAGCTCTCGAGATGATGCCTGCATAATCGTTAAATTGCTGCTATTCCTGGTTTCCGCAGCATAAATCTTCTTGCTGGTGTTGCATTCAGCTGCTGCTTACTTTTGCTAAATGCATCCAAATGTTTGAGTTTTTTAGCATTTTCATCTGCGAACTGGACTATACTCTTGAAAGAAAACGCGTCTCCTCCACTAATAACGTGAATGGGGTCAGTCATGTGACCCGCGGTGGCACATTTGGACATTTTTATACTTTTTTTCTGACATCAGTACCTACCGAATGTTTTCACTCAGTCCCAAAAAGGTCCAGAGTTTGAGCACTCAGCCCTAGGCATCAGTCACCTTTCTCATGGTCTGCTGAGATTTTCTGCGCTCTCCTCTGCTGAAGGTCTGTGCAGTCTGTTATGTTTACCGTTTTGTATCACAGCTGTAGCGCGGGAGCTGAACACGACACGTGTTCACAGTATTTTGATCCGAGGCTGCGCTGCGTTCTCAATTATTGGTTCTGCCCATCTTTATTTATGCTATGTTATTTAATAAAAATTATCGTGGTTGACAAATTAAACTTTAAAGGACAAATACAGTTCGGAGAATTTACATACAGAACAAATTTTAAGACCCAGATGTCAAAATTCAAGACTTTTTAAAGACTTGTTAAGGTATTATTTCCAGATTCCTAAATTCAATGCTTGTATGAATTTTTAAGCCCCTGCAGGAACCCAATAATATGGTCGCGTTGAGACCAGATAATTAATCAAACTATATTTTTATAGAAGCAACATTGAACAATGCCAGTTAACTCATGCATCATACACTCGCAAACAGCAAGTGAGAGTGGAACCCAAGTCGCTGATTCTAGAGGTTTTAGTGTGAACAACTATTTTATGCTGAACATTCCTCTGATCGACCTCCACACTTACGGTGCCAAACTGACATAACAAGTAACACCACATTTGCTACAGTAAATAAAGTAATAACTAAGAACAACACAACCCCCCTCAAAATAAACAAGCATAAACACCCTCAAATAAAACAAAATAACTAAGAACATGACTACCCACAATGCACCTTGCCCACATTTGACTCAAATAAAAAAAATCTGCTGAACATGAAGAGAAGTATACATTTTGGGTGAAATAAAAATTTCGTGTTGATTGGTTTGATTGGATTTTTAGTTCCATACAAATCAAAAGTGATGATTAAAAATGCAAAAACAAAGAGTTTCACAATCAAATCAATATTTTATTCTATTTTAAATAAAAGTTATTAGATTGAATAAAAAGCTACATGTTCGACTTTTTAGAGTGTACATGCCCACAAAGCTAGGATATGTTGAAAAATTAAAGTGAAAATAATTGTCCAAAAAAATTCCAATCTCACCGAGTTCGACGGCACACCAAGGTTGCTCTCGATGTAGGTCTCGGTTTTGGGTTCCACCGCATCCTCAGCCTCCAGGATCTTCTCCACAGGCATGTCCTCGTTAGCGCAGCTGGTGGACTCCACCTCATTCTCACTTTTTTCCTTGGCTCGCTGGCGCTCCTCCTGAACGGCTGCATGTAACAAAACTGATTACGGTCACTACTGCTGTTTATTTTTTAAACACATTAAATAAAACGTCTAAAATGTGTGCAGACTTCACTTAATCTCTCTCCTTTCAAAGCAAACCTTTTGCTGACAATCATGACTTATTGCTCTCTGTGACGGTGAATAACGTTCAACTCTAATTACCCTTATTGTGGATTTGCCAATACACCCTAAATGTTAAGAATGTTCCAACTATTTGGTGATGCAGAGGAAAAAAAAAGTAGTCAGACAATTTGAACTGCCAAGTTTTCATAAAAGCACATAATGGATGCAGGGTTTCCCCCAGAAAATGAGTTAAGCCTGGCGGATTCGTCCGTCTGGGGGGGTGGGGGGCTCGCACGGTTCGTCCCGCAGCGCTCCTCCGTGAGAGCGGGGGTGGCACACGTTCCGCTGCTGTTTCTCACCAGTATCAGCTGATGGAGGGCTCTAGTTTCGTTGCGCCGTTCATGTCAGCGGACACAGTAGGGTCGGGAAGGGGGGCGGGACATGATGCTTAGCCTGGCGGGTGGCCAAGCAAAGCCTGGTGGGCCACCAGGCTTATAACGCGCTGGGGGAAATCCTGGATTTTTTTTATTGTAAAGCCAGCTTTGGTGTACTTGGGTTTAGCTGACCCTTATCCTTTTCTTTATAACCCCTTTATGCAGGATGATGCTCCACATGATAAATATGACTGAACTGCAGCAAATATGGAAAAACTTGTCAAACGTGAAGGTAACTGCGATTCCGCTCTGCCTTTAGTGCTCACCAAACATCCCTGAGGTGTTCCCCTCCATCCCACCCATACTCTTGCTTTAACATCTATGATGACTACATGTATGCCCAGTCGTCCTAGGTCCTTGTGTCAGGATGTGGCTACGCTCAAAGAGATCAGACCATGCTAACGTGAGGCTAATGGCATGATGGTGTCACACCCTTGACTTGAAGCTTCTAATTAATGATTATTAATTAATGATGATTCCACTTGTGTTATCTAAGACCCTGGGATCCTGCCATTATGATGGTAAACCACAATAAAGGATGTGTCGCGCATCCCCAAAACTATCAACAAAATAAAGCGTGACAGTGTTCTTAGAACCTTGCAAAGAACCCATCGTTCTGACTGATATTTTAGTCATAGTGAGATCATCGTCAAAGTAATTACAAGTAGGCTGTTAAGCTTGCACAACACAAACATGCTGCATCTCTTTTCAAAAACAGATTGGCAACAGTTGATATGGAATCAGACTCTTGAAGAGGGGTCCTATTTGGAATATTTACTCGTTGCCCTTTACGAGTTTAAATGAACATCCCACTAGCATGACCATGCGGAGGTAGTACCAAGTACTTAAAAAGGGCCCTGGTCTTGTCCAGAATTTAGTGCACTTTTCAGCCATAAATTTGAGAAGTTCCTGCTTTTCTGTCATTGTTTTATTTTGAAAGGGTTACCAAAAGGGGGAAACATTAGCCATGGGTGACCTGTAGTTTGGTTCTTCCACATTAGCCCACGAGACAAGTGAAAATTAAGGAACACAAATATCAACATCTAGCAGAATTATGAAAGACACACATGTGTAAATCTGAGACCATGGTCTTGAGTCGGAAAAGGGTAGAATGCCTTCTCTAGGTCAGGGATGAGGTCCTGCCTCAAGTGGAGGAGTTTAAGTATCTCTGGGTCTTGTTCACGAGTGAGGGAATGATGGATTGGGTGATCGACAAGCAGATTGATGCTGCGTCTGCAATGATGCGGGCTTTGTACCTGTCTGTCGTGGTGAAGACAGAGCTGAGCCAAAAGGAGAAACTCTCAACTTACTGGCTGATCTACGCTCCTACTCTTACCTATGGTCACGAGCTTTGGGTAGTGGCCTAAACAATGAGATTGTGGATACAAGCGGCTGAAATTAGTTTTCTCTGCAGGGTGGCTGGGCTTTCCTTTAGCGATAGAGTGAGAAGGTTGGTCTTCTGGAAGGGGCTCGGAGTAGAGCCGCTGCTCCCCCATTTCGAGAGGACCTAGTTGAGGTGGCTCGAGCATCTAGTATGGATGCCTCCTGGATACCTCCCTCGTGAAGTTTTCCGGGCATGTCCAACTGGGAGTAGACCTGAAGGAAGACCTAGGACACGCTGGAGAGACTATGTCTCGGCTGGCCAGGGAACGTCTTGGGATTCCCCCAGAGGAGCTGGTTCAAGTGGCTGGGGAGAGGGAAGTTTGGGCCTCCCTGCTGCTACTTACCCCACGACCTGACCCCAGATAAGCAGCAGAAAATGGATGGACGAATAGATGGACATGTACGTGTCCCTTAACCTTCTGCTCTGTCTGAGGGAGAATAGTCAAAGGGATGGACCGTGCCTTGTATGGGCAGCAGTAGGAACTGGGATTCAGGTGAGCATGCACCTGCTTGAGTTGGCGTTTAAGAACTAGCTGTGTTATGCATAGTCCATGGTGTGTCTGAGAAAGGTCAGCTACAGTTTTAGCATGATGAATAGAATAAAAAGGAACCTGACGGACACAATGCTCTTCAAAGCAGTGAGGAAACGTTCTACCACTTTTCATATCAAAGAAATGTGTTTTCTTATCTTGTGCTCAACGACAAACGGCCACAACGTTTTATACACAAACCAGTCAAAGACACATAAACAATGTGGGGCCTTTCAGTGGTTCCTTACACCATGGATAGAGGTCTCATCATCTTAATAAAGAAGATTCAGCCCAAATCAATGAGGACCTTGTTGTTTAAAAAGCCCCAAAACAGACTGTCGATTGTGTCATCTGATTGACTTGGAGACAGGAAATGGTTTGTGTGGTGTGGAGACACAGAGACTCACAGCTGAAGCTGGAGAAACCGCACGTCCACCCTCAAGTGAAAAAAGAGGTGTATGAGTGTGTTTCTGCCTTTTCAAAAGGCTGTAATTTGTTTCAGTCTAAGACACTGCAGAAAAATCGTTTTAGTGTCTTGTGGCTTTCTTCTTCCAGCCTCGGATTAATAAACGTTTTATTGGGGGGAAAAGTGTTGTATGGCAAAAGGGGCTTTTAGAAAATCTATTTTAGCAGCTCAACGCACACACATTGGTGTTTTCTAACACACATATAAAGGGTGTGCAGGATGACTCCTTAAGCCCGCTCTGGTTTCTATTTCATGTCCTGAACTGGAGAGGCCTTGGTCTTGTTGTGAGGGGGAAAGGGAAGCAGAAGTTGTTAGAAGAGAAGGAGAAAGGGGCCCCACTTTTGGAGGAACGGCTGTCTGGCGGTGGAGGTCAGCCCAAGGGTAGAATACTTGTGTTGGAGTCACACAGAGGTGAGGAGGGCTGAAATTATGTTAGCTTTATTCTCCCCTTCTCTCTCCTGTCCTAACTGGGGGAGCATAAATTCATTTAATCCTGTTTTTCTGTGGATTCGCTTAGCCTTTTGGGCAACTGCTGCCTTGTTCTCTAACCACAGTCCTCGGGGTGCGGGGGGGTTAGGCAGCACAGGGAGTGAGGCAAGAGGCAGTAAACGATAATATCCTTGAATGGAGCAAAGAGCCCAACAATGACATAAATAAAAACAAGAGGGACAGGATAAGAGGCCACGGAAAGGTCAAGAAAAATTGGGCTCTGGCGGCGCCGATTCTAAAATGTTTCGTGTGCTCTCTCTGTTTAACAAAGCGTCGACACCAAGTCCACGTGCGCCTGCTTTTTCAATTTACATTGATATGCTCTCTACATCATACATAGTCCATGGACTCTGGTTGAAGAACTGCAAGCACTGTGGAGGGACAGAGTGATTGATTTGTTTAATGTGCGAAAGAGTGCTTAACAACACTGCTGAGAGCACAAATATTTCTAACACCCACACGGAGTGTCAAACTTCACACCTCACTGCCTGCTTTTCCTCCACACACATAACAAAACTCCTCCTGGTTCCTAAAGGAACCATAACTGATTTACTCTCATGTGAATTAGCAGCTTGTCTAATCTGAGTTGTTGTTTAGTAACAAGGAGAACACAGCCATCAACAACTGTACTTCAGCCAGTCTTTGGTTTGGAAGATGCAACGTCAAGTAAAAAAAAAAAAAAATTACCATAGCAACAAGTGGTCTCTGTGCAAAAAAACAAGCATGGTCTCGTTCAAGAAGGTGTTTGTGCTTCTCCTGGAACACCTGCTCACTACATCTGCAGGGATTCAGTTGAACTGAAGACGGAGCATCAGTGTGCATCACTTGTATGCGTCAAGCTGTAAGCCATTAAATCCAGCTTTTATTCACACAATCTGTGCATTATTATCATCGTTTTATTTTCCCACAAGGACGAACAGAAAGGCATTTATTGAGTATGGCTTATTTGAAAAGAAGAATAAGTCAAAGCCGATTAATTCAACCAAAAGCAAAGCTGAACTTCTCGTGTGCTTTCTCTGATCCTGGTGTTGAACCAAGCCAGCTCAAGAGATTTAAAAATCAACTCAAGATGTTGTAACTTTATGACGATGTTGGCGCACAAGCAAGTATGTTCTTCCATTTATCTTCATGACGGTAGACAGTGTATGTGTGGGTGGTCCTAAAGTACTCTATTACATTTACAGTGGTTGTTCTCAGCATGTGTTGTTGATAAATCTGAACAGGGCTGAGAAATCAGGAAACGTTGTATTTTGCATTTAGGTCATTTGCATGAACACTAAAGATGCCGAAGATGGCCTGTAAATTGGGCTCATCATGTGATTGAATCACTAACTCCTTCTAAAAAAGGACAGATGCATGTGCATATTTAAAAAATAATCCCACAAAACGACGTGCAAATCTTCACTGCTCTGCATTTCCTTCGTATGATCTGAAATCAACTCAACTTTTGCATATGTAAGTGCAAAACTGTCTTGTTAAGAAAGTTCTCGTCTGCACCAGAACAGTTTGCAGATGGCAGTCAGAGTGTAAAATGTGAAAAGAGGGCAGCTATATACTTTGTTTACCTAAAGTCTTTTGAATCTATACTCATCTGCAGTCTTTCTGGAACACAGTTTACATTTATTTGGCTTCTCTGGCTACCGAAAGAATTATTCTATGTGCATCTGACACCAACTGATGTGCACGAAATAATGTTGCACGACCATGAGAAGGTTTTCTCTTGCATGCAATTTCAGAATTTTATGAGAACTATTAGCTATCTCAGCTTTGTAAACACCATTCACACAAGATTAATTACTTAAATACTCTTAATTGTTGCAATGATGATACCGTTTGCACCTTTCTTCACTACTGTCTGTGATCTGAGTTCACAGCCCTTTTCTCTGCAACTTAACACGATACAACCCCATAAATAAGCCGTGGAAGAGAACCTTTTACATCATAGTTGCAGATTTGCCTCTAATGTAATGTGCAGGTAAGAAACCTTTCACTTTTTGCAGAGATACATCAACAGTTTTAATTATGTATTTGTCATATTCCTACTTCTATTTGTTTCATCGGTTTAGATGCCCAGTAATGACTTTTTCCCTTTTTCTGTTTATACAGTTTTCTGGTCATAAAGACACCAGATTTCCACAACTAGAGGCCTTAATTTGGTTTAAATATGTAGACTAACAGAGGTCTGAAGGTCTGGGTAAGTAGGACTTTATCCTCAACGGTATGTGCTGTACCTTCTCTCTTCATGCCCATGGCTAAACACTTCTGGTAGCGGCAGTACTGACAGCGGTTCCTCTGGCGTTTATCGATCACACAGTCTTTGTTGTCGCGACAGGTGTAGGTCAAGTCCTTGCGCACGGTCCTTTTGAAGAAACCTTTGCAGCCCTCGCAGCTGTATACGCCATAGTGTTTACCTGGAGAGGGAGGAAGACACAACGATGTTTTGTGAAAGTCATATTTGTCCATTAAATGTTCTGTGGTCTCAAAAACACAGCAACTTCTTCTACTGGTCACCTTCATCTAACTCTAAACAAAACAACAGTTATAATCAGAGGCCTGTTAAAGTGAACTGATTGTTATCGGAGTTAAAAATGTGATGGGGAGAAAAAAGGGGCCCAACGTAGCAGGACCTTGTTCTCATGTCTGTTCATTGCATTAAACTCTTTTTTTCCCTGTTATTTATGACGGATGCAGCCCATTTGCCGTCTCCAGTGTTGCTCAAACAGTTTCTTTGTTCGATCTCCGCTGGTCAGACCACCAGAGAAGATAAATAAAGCCTCCAAGCAAAGCCAAATGAAGCATGACTCGCTCTTTAACACTATTTTCATTTCCCACCCCCCTTTGGGTGCAAACAGCACTGATGGCGCAGAACGCCAGTAAAATCCTCCAATGTGTTGCATATCCACCTAATTCTAAGGTGGAAAAGAAAAATATACAAACAAAGGATTTATTTGTTTGAGGGGTGAAGTGTGTGTGTTTACTTGTATTTGTGTGTGTGTGTGTGTGGTGGTGGTGGTAGGTGTAACCAGGTAAACACAAGTTAGACTGTTTTTTAAACTAAGGTGATTGACCTGGTTTCTGAGCACATATTGGTCTAATATCACAAGAATCTTAAGTGTTTTGGCCCAAAAGGGCTCAGATCTTTATTTTCATCCTTTCTCTTTGGCCTTTTAAGACTCTCTGGTCACATCACTTAGGCACACGATACTCACCAACAACTCAAGTAGAGGATGCTGTGGTTGTAGCTGTGCATTTATGGGTCTGTGGGTTTTTAAGCAGTCTAAAGACATGGGGAAGAAGCACTTTTAGGAGCCAAGAGTCAAACAACAGATCTTTTTTTTTTTATTCAGAACTTTGATTTGTCTGACCATTAACTGTGCCTTTTGTAATAGATCAATCACACTTCATCATGTCATGTGAAGCTCCACACAGCACCATTCATCTGCTCTGAAGAAGGAGTTAAAAATAGACCAAATAATTGTAGTTCTAATGACTATGAACAACCTCATTTCTACTAGTTTGAAAATAAAGAAATGGAAAACTTCCCTAAATGGTTTTAAAAACTATGTGGGGTTCAAATAGAGCCAAAGTGTTCATCTGCTTCTTCTACCCCATTTACCCCGAGAATAAACACAGTCTTGCTCAGACCTGGGCATTTTACGGCCCGCGGGCCACATACGGCCCTTTGGTTGACTTTGACCGGCCCGCGTAAGGTTAATTGGAAATTCAAAATAAATGTATTTTCTCATTTTACCTCATGCATGGGCTAAGGCTGCATTGCTTTTATTTTGAAGTTGTTTTTTACGTGCACAATGACGCAATACGTATAGCAACAAGTGCCCGCGGTTGACATGGTGATTGTAGCCCCAGAAATGTCCGCTCATGCAAAAAAAAAAAAAAAAAAAAAAAAAAAAAGATAGAAAGATGCCAAATACAAGATTTTCAACAAAAATTGGACTGCTAAGTATTTTATTTTTACTGAAGTCGGAGGCAAAGCCGTGTGTTTGGTTTGCGGGGAGGAGATTGCCGTGTTTAAAGAGCAAGTAACGTCTAAATTAACTTTTTTTTGCTGATGAACTGTATAAATGAGTGTCTAATAGTGTTTTAAATGTGTGTATTCATTATTTTAGCATTTTGGTGCATTTTCTTAAAAAATTAAAAATTCTGCCTAAATACCACAGTATAGCTCCACCTTCAGCTTAAAACATAGAATGTGACTCATTTTGAATAAATTTTAGCCAATGGCTAAAGAGTAAGATACTACGTAATCCAGTAGAGTACTACGTAGCAGCTCTGTGTCAACGTTATAAAAGCATCGGGAGTCTCGGCCACGCCTTGTGGCGAGTTGGGAGTTGGATTTGCATGAGAGTGTAGGAGGCTAGCCGTAGTTCAGCATTAGCATATAGCATTAGCATATCCTAGTCTTTAGCATAGCTTTTAGTGTTATACATACTTATTTAGTGTTAGCTTGGCTGTTGGATATTGTAGTTTAGTTACTGTTTGGCTGTTAGTGTAATTAGGAAAGTAGTTCGGGTTTAGTGCTCCATATCGTGTTAGCATGGTGAGATGGTGTAGTGTAGTATGGTTGCGGAGCTCTGTCGGGTTGCACTCCTTTCCGCTGGACTTAGAAATTAGGCGCCAGTGGTTGCATGTCTGGAAAAGATTCAGCTCCCGCCTGGTGCTGTAGTTTGCAACCAGCATTTTACCCGCGATTCTGCACGTCTCCGTTCCAAGAGGGAGGTTGTGCCCACCGTGGCTCTTCCGCGATTTAGATACAGACCACCGACTCTGCTCCCCCACCATGACGGGCTACAGTCTGAGGTGAGTAAGCTAAATAAAAGTTTTAACATCTTCTAAAGACAATTTCCTACCTAAATGCAAAGTTTGAGAGACGTGGTTCACTCCATTTAGCTAATATCAGTCTGCACTGCCTTCGGGCTGATTTGTCAAGTTCACAAAATGTGGAACGGGATGTAAGGTTAGAATCAGCGGCGAATCGGAACATATCTCGAAGCCCTGGCCGACACAACGGTCCACATGACTGTCAGGCTCAGAGAAAATTCGGGTTGTTTTTGTGTCAGTCGGTAATTCAGCAACAGTGACTCTAAACTGACGCAGCACTAGTTGACAGACAGCATTACAGCGTGAAATCTAGCACAGCGTGACCCGGTTCCGTGAGGAATTCTGTTCAGGAGGTCGCATTTCAGGGTCTCCACATCATATGTGACTGACTTTTACTTTATAATAACATCACACACTAGGAATGTTATAAAGCGCCTATATGGGACATTTTTTTTTGTATTTTATCTGACTTTATAAACATCAATGTGCTTCTATTTTTTTCAGGCTAAATCTACCCAAGACACTGGCTGTCAGACTGATTTAGTAATCTGCAAGAATGCACTTGTCCAGGCTGACGTGAAGCCTTACCCGTAGCAAAGGTGAATTATTTTTAATAATCTTCTATGTAAACATTTTATTACCTTCTAGTTTTAATTTGTTTTACAGATTGTTACAAGTGATTTTATGCTCTTTTAAACATTTATAAATGTGCTGCTTCTTTGTTTTTATAGAGCTCACAGCCTCAGTGTCTTGTGACACAGGGACCATGACAGAAATTCATCTTCCAGAAGGTCCAAGAGCATCCACACCCCCTGAAAAGACCACGGTGTGAGGTGTCTGCTGTTGATTCCAGCTTCCACCTCAGTGACAGTGCAAGCTCAGTGAACTGTTCAAGGTAAAAAAAAATTAAAACATTTCTGAATTTTTAAGATATTAACAATTAAATAAGTATGTGATTACATCATGAAGGAGGCTACTGATTCTGGCCCTGTGACACTTGGTGGTCACCACCAGGTGGTGACGTGTGAGCTGATTCACCTGGTAAATAACTTTTAAATATTTTGTTTTTGCTATCAAAAGTAAATTAACTAATAACCTGCATTACTGCAGGACACTCAGCAAAATATGGACTCTACACCATGAGGCAGGCACACGTTAATAACTCTATAAGAGTACATAAGGTAAGCAACACCACATATTATTTTTATTACTGTACACTGTCCTGGATTTGTTTTCTTTCTGCATGATTTGTTTTCTTTCTGCATCTCATCATTAGCCTGGCTGATCACCTGATAACCCCTGTCATCTGGTTATGACAGCATGAGGATGTCCTCACACACCTGTAACCTACCAGCTCATCTGGCAGAATAGAGAGAGAAGAGACAACACCACATCTCCTGTTCCTGGAAAGCCTTCAGCCATCCTTCGATGACTGAGAACCTCCATCAGCTCTGTCTCCTGTCTGCCTACAATTATTATAATAAATATTGTGTTTGACAAGTTTTTTGTGCTGCCGAATATCTCATTTTGATTCCAGTTTTGATATTTTAATGGATATTTATAAATTACATTGATTATCACATTGTTGCATGTTTAACTAGCTCTATTGTGATGAATTAAACTAGCACCTCACTGTTAAAAGCTCGTTTTAATTTCAAGCATGTTTAAGTATTTATGGACATGAACAAAAACAGGAAATATATAAATTGAGATTTATTTAATTAATATAACAAATAAGGGGGAAAGAGTCATTGAAAGGCACATTCTTCTGGAAGCTCCTGATCCCGACGACATCAGCAGGAGATCAGCTGCAGACACCAGAGGATCACCTGCAACCAAGAGCAGCTAGCATCAGTAAATAAATAATGAAATCAGGGCAGTTTTAATGGGCTGAACACATTACAGAATAATTTTCTCATGGGATATTTTCATAACTTTATGCAGCAGACTGTAGCTTGAGCCCAGATCTCCTGGAGAGCTGCTATCCAGCACGTTTCAGTGGATTTTCCTGCTTTAACAGGTTAGATAAGCTGTTAAGCAGCTCAGCTGTTTGTTGCTGATTAAAACCAGGTGTGTTGATGCAGATAAATCTCTAAAACATGCTGAATACTAGCTTTTTAGGGCCATGGAGACAAACCCTGCAGCTAATCCAATGCTATGGCTAACGGCTACTTACGTTCAGAGATGGGTCTGTTGGGTCGGTTCCAGTAATTTCAGGCAACTCACAAGCTCAAAACAATAAGGCTCATGTCCGCTTGTCTCCTCCAAATAGACTTGGTCCCTTTCTTCTCGAGTGTCTGGGTAAGGAGGGGGAGAAACGTCCTCCACTTCTAATGACTGCTCAGAGTGAAGGGAGCTAGCTTCGTCTAGTTAGCCGTCTCTTCGTCACTGCCGCGGCTCCGCCCTCTCGGTCCTCCAGGCAACGCCTACTAATGTTGCAGTTTTCAAAATTGATACGTGGGTGGGGTAAGACTCTGAGGCACACTTGACATGCACTTTAAGGACTACAATTTGAGTCGGCATTACGACAAGAAACACTCGGAAAAATACAAGAACTCATCTGATGCTGAGA